CTACAAATAAATGTAGATTTATCGCACATTGGAAAATTGTTGGTATAATCATACAAGGTCCTACAGTTCTACACTTAACATTGACAAAGAATTGTTAAAATTATAAATTTGGACCACCATAAAAAATTATCTTAACCACGACATTGTCAAACACTTGGTTGTGTTGAACATCAACATCACTAATTCTATTAATGAAGTTCATTTAGAAATGGACACCCATTGAAAGTAGTTTAAGAATTAAAGCCCCATTCTTTTGGACCAGAATTTGTTAACTAGATTGAATTGAAATTAAATACGAAATAATAAATTTCATGATAATAATAATAAGAACAATATTGACTTGCCTAGAGTATCTGACAAGGGTTATTAGAAATATAATTGTCCGTAAATAGGGTTGAAAGTAAAGTTCAATTCAATCAATATTGAGAGGGAAAAAAAAAACGAGAGGATCAAGGAGTGGAGGGATGGTTAGTCCCTCCATCTTCCTCGGTATGACCAAAGTTTGATCCTCACCTCCATCCCTCTTGTGATTGGATGGGCACCCCCTTATCTTACCGTATTAAAAAAAAAAAAAAAGTCAAAACTGTTTCGGGGTTTTCTGATGTCCTGCGGGAGAGTTACAACACCGAGACTGGAACCGGACGCCTGTACCTGCAAAATAACGGAGACTCCTGGGAGCTCCGCCTCCAACGGTCAAGTTAGTACTTGTTTGAGGAGTAATAAGTGCGGAAATTAAAGGGGGAAGATCTGGTTCCTCTAGGGGAGGAGTGATCAATGTGTTCAGACTTCTCTAGGTGAGAGTAATTAATTGCTCTTTTTTCTTTAATGAGGATTAATTAAGTATTTATAGTCCTGAGAAGCGTGCCAATCTCTAGGTTTGGGGTAAACCTAGGGATGACTGGGCCTCTAAACAGGATTGGGCCTTGTTGGCCGGTTTTCCCATTTGGCACGGGTGGACACGTGGCGTGTCTCAATTGGTCCGCAGAGGACGAATCTGTAATTGACACGTGGCAGGCTCCCATTGACCTACGTGAAAGACACGTGGCGGAACCTGGTTGGTCCACTTGTCAGACGGTGATTGGTGGATAAAAATCCCCTAATCAAAAACTGAATTAGTAATTTGGATTGGAATATTTCTTAAACTAATAGGTTAATGTGATGCACGAATTTAACTATAGTTTAACCACCAAATTTATTTTTTTGAGTAGTAAGGGAGAAATGAACTTATCGTATTTAGCTTTACTAGCATTTCGGTTCAACCCTTTGATTTAGGTCATTGTTGGTACAAGACGGTTAATTAAGGACTTATTTTGTTCAACTTAATTTCAGTTCAATTCCTAATTTCTTCTCTCATATATTTCAATTCAATTCAATCCAGTCTCATTAAATTCAGTTATTTTCTGTAAATCGAAACTAGCTCTAAGTCGGGCATACTTTTGACTACTCAACAATCTACATATAGTAATTGCTCCATAAGGCCATGCCCATCCCTAGAGGCTAGAGGCCCTCCAATCCTCTCCATACAAGTAAATACAGATAATATTTTTTTTAGACTATAGATAATCTAGTTAATTGAGCTTCATTATGCAAGGGTATATGCGTCACTTTACATCACAATCAATATCCCAATTATTTTTTTTATTTTTTAATTTTTTTTAAAACCCTACAAAACGTGTTAGTTAGAATATGTCAACCAATAGGAAACCTACAAACAAACCCCCAATCCGAAGCAAACCCTTACATCAAATCACAACCGTCCACTTCATTAGAGAAAACACAACCTTCGCTATTACCCACCGTTAGATCATACAACTGTAAAAGCACACGGATCACCAATATCAGCCGTCCGATTCTCTTATCATTTGCTTACCCCCTTCACCTTATATAAACCCCTTTACCACCTACCTTTTCAAATTTCTGCTATTCTTCACATTGTAGAGAGAGAAAGAGGAGAGAGAAAGAGAAGAAATCGTCAAAGTTATCTAGCTAAGGAGTTTCATTGAGGTAAATTTCTTCTCTCTGATCTTCTTTAATCTGTCTTGAATTAATGTTTTTGATTAATTTGCTTTGATTTGTTTATTATGTTGTGATTTGAATATTCGAGGTTTCGTCTTCATGGTTTAGCTTGCGTATTAAATTAATTTCTGTAGAAATCATAATTAGGGTTTTGATATCTAGTTTGTTACAATTCATGATAATTTTAGCTTGCGTGTTGAGTTAATTTGCTGTAGAAATCATAAATAGGGTTTTGATATTTAGTTTGTTACAATTCATGATAATTTCAGTTTGCGTATTGTATTAATTTGCTGCTGAAATCATAATTAAGGTTCTGACATCTAGGTTTATACAATTTCGATTAATTTATGTAGTTTTTTGTTAATTTTTTGAGATGTTCACGTGTTTTTGTTCTTGATTGTCTTGTTATGTACTTCAAATAAATCATAAATTGTGATTTAAAGCTTTCAATTGTTTTAAAGCTATATTTTCATCTGAGATACTATTGTATGTCGTTTGAATTGGTTATTGGATCTTCAAATTTTTCGTTCGCTCTAAAAATTTGAAAATTAGGCTTTCGTTTTTGTCATAAGGTTTTGAATTTGGTGAAATATTTGAAATTCTCTTTAAGGATTCGATTGAAATTAGGGTTTAATATTCATCGAAGCTGTTTTGGCTATTATGCATTATTTAATTTGTTTGACATTGTTGATTTGATCTATTTACGTTTGCTAATTATATATCTGATTATTCTAGATATGGCCCGTACCAAGCAAACTGCTCGTAAGAGTACTGGAGGAAAGGCTCCCAGGAAGCAACTTGCTACCAAGGTATTTGATTGATCAATCTCTGTCTCTCTTATTTGAGTTGATGTTTTGATAAACTGTACACAAATCTGCAATTCAATTGTCAATCTGATTGTTATATTGTGTTGATAGGCTGCTCGTAAGTCTGCCCCAACCACCGGAGGAGTGAAGAAGCCTCACCGTTACCGTCCCGGAACTGTGGCTCTTCGTGAGATCAGGAAGTACCAGAAGAGTACTGAGCTTTTGATCAGGAAGTTGCCATTCCAGAGGTTGGTCCGTGAGATTGCCCAGGACTTTAAGACTGATCTCCGTTTCCAGTCTCATGCTGTATTGGCTCTTCAGGAAGCTGCTGAGGCTTACCTTGTTGGTCTTTTCGAGGACACTAACCTGTGTGCCATCCACGCCAAGCGTGTTACTATTATGCCTAAGGACATTCAGCTTGCCCGCAGGATCAGGGGTGAACGTGCTTAAGCAATTGAGCTTGTCTTATCGTTTGTTGCTTTTACTACTATAATAGTATTAGTTTGATGTTCTTGGTTAGGCTTAATGCAGGACTTAAATAGGGGTTGTTTTTTGTTTGGGGAAGAAGGGGTTTTCTGGTGAATGATGTAGTTAAAAGTGATGATGGGTGGTGTGTTTTGAGAGCAAGGAACTCAAACTTTGGTATATTTGGTATTTAATTTCTGTTTTTGTTGGTGTCACACTGATTTTGTGTGGAAACATTCATCTAATGTAGTTGATATATATTCAGACCTTTATGTTATTGTTTTCTTATGTTGATTTTTTGTTGTGATCTTTTTACGTTATTGATAAAATTTGTTAACCAGGTTCTTGAAGTTAAAACATGTTAAACTTTATTATGTCCATATATGCTTTGGTGTTAAGATTTAAGGTGCCTCTTTTCTATCCTTTTATGTTCAAGTTTTGTACTTGATTCCTGTCTCCACTTTCCAATACATGAAGCAATGGATAATGCATTCGCGCCTTAGGGAGAGATGTAAAAGATAAGCGTGGGTGCTTTTTCCTTTTGTACTGTTTTTAGTTATTATTTTTGCTAACCTGCTATCACCTCGACCCATTCCCCTTGTTACCTATTTATGTCTTCTTATCATATGCACGGTGCTCCTTATACTCCCAGGCTGCCCCTGTCAATTGAATTAGTTTTATAATTTTCAACTTGGAAGTGCCCACTGGAGCTATGGTGTGGTATCTGCATTTCAATGTTATAATTTCTCTACTAGCTATTTGGTATCTGCACGGACTGCATCTGCTTCCATTATACTATCAGGATCCATCGATGCTTTTTTCACTCCGTAAGATTGACATCTCATTATTTGTTAGGTGGACTTGAGATATGTTATTAGGATATTTTCAACAAGGGTGTGGGCTTGTTTTTCCTTTCCGACCATGGTGGCAACGATCTCCATGGCGGAGGCTGTTACTGTAGACCTTGAGTTGCGTTGGCTGTGAGTGGGTATGATGGTGGGTGAAGTGAGGAGATAGCGGTGAAAGAATAAATTTGTGGTGGTCAGGTGGTGGCTGGTCGTGGATAGTTATAAATGATGTAGTGCTTGCGGGTAGTCCTGGTGGCTCAACGTAGTGTTTGGGTGAAACTGTGAAAATGATAGAGTTGGGAGAGTAGAGCCGTGGAGGTCATCATTTGGGGGCTTGGGTAGGAAATATGGCTGGTTTAAGCTAATACCTTTTGTGTAATAATTTTTAGTATAGTAGGAAACTAGATTAAACCCCGTGCAATGCACGGTTGTTAAATAATTCTAGTGACAATAAATTTTACCAAAAATAATGGTTATAAATATTATTATTATAAATAGACTTTGTAGTAAAAATGAAATATTGTGAAAGAAATTAATTAAATATGTAATAGTTATAATTGGCAATTTGATATTTAAGGACATTTATTTTAGATTTTATTATACAAACTAAAAGTCATAATTTAATTACAATAATTTTTTTTAGTAAGTGATTTTGGAGGGAAAACTTTTTATAATATTATGCCAAGTGTTCTCTAAGTTTCGCCTTTAGTATAATGTAATTGATTGATATGGCTGTTTAAGCTAATACCTTTTGTGTAATAGTTTTTAGTATAGTAGGAAATATGGCTGGTTTAAGTTAATACCTTTTGTGTAATAGTTTTTAGTATAGTAATCAAAACTTATCTGTGCAACGAGAATACGAGATTTACCTGCTGCTGCTAGTCCTGCTACTACCTGCCTTACTAAGGCTACGTTTATTGTTTAATTCACCTTATTTTAGTAGTGTCTTTTAGAGTAAATACTCCGTGCTAGTGAAATTGGGGAGAGCAGAGGGGTAAAACAGTCATTGTATCGCGGCATTTAGTACTCTTAACACGTACAGCAACACCCTATAAAATGAATACATGTATAACACAGTGTAACACTAACAGTCTTAACACCCTATAAAATGAATGTAATGAACTAATGATCCCATCAAGTGATCAGCCATTAAAGCCCGCGAAATTAGCAATTGAAAGTTGACAATTGTCTCAGGTAGCTTCTTTACTTACCCAACAAAGGTATATAAACTGCGCTCTTTCTTCAACTTTCTCAACCCGTCTTTGTTTTTACCATATACTATGAAAAATGTTTGTTTTCTGCCATTTTCGTACAATCGCAGTTCACTGCTTAATTCAGCTGGTTTTCTCCATCTTCGCCATATTCTGCACCAATATAGCCTCTACTCAACTAACCATGTCTCTAATTGCAACGCCAAGATCTCTGCTCTTTCACGAGCAGGCAACATTGAGGCTGCCCGCCAACTGTTTGATAAAATGCCTAAGAGAGATGTTGTCACTTGGAATTCTCTCCTTACTGGGTATTGGAAAAATGGATTTTTCCATGAATCCAAAACACTTTTTGAGTCAATGCCAGAAAAAAATGTGGTATCTTGGAATTCTATGATAGCAGGTTGTATTGAGAATGATTTGATTGATGAGGGGTTTGAGTATTTTCATATGATGCCCAAGAGAAATGTGGCTTCATGGAATGCAATGTTATCAGGTTTTGTTAAGTATGGTAGAGTTGAGGAGGCGGTTCGGCTTTTTAGGGAGATGCCACAGAAGAATGTTGTCTCTTGCACTGCTATGATTGATGTGTATCTTCAAGAAGGAATGATGAATGAAGCAAGGGCTTTGTTTGATCAGGTTCCTCAGAAGAATGGTGTAACTTGGACTGTGATGATTAGTGGGTATGTAGAAAATGCAATGTTTACAGAAGCGAGAGAGTTGTTTGATCAGATGCCAAATAAGACTGTTGTTGCAACTACTGCGATGATAACTGGTTACTGTAAAGAGGGGAATGTGGAGGATGCCAGGAATTTGTTTGATCAGCTTAGGCAGAAGGATAATGTTGCTTGGAATGCTCTGATCACAGGTATACAATCTTGGTAGTTTGTTAGGATTTTTGCTTTAAATGCTCAATTTGTCCTATTTATAGATTATAGACAGCCTGGATTTCTACTACCTGCTGATACTAGATATCTTATTATTGTAGGCATCTTAATAATAGACAATAAGACAAGTGAATTTTATGGCGCATCGAGTTACTGTCTGTAGAACTGATTATTTGTTCTACAGGTTATACTCAAAATGAATTTGGAGAGGATGCTCTGAAATTATTTTCAGAGATGCTGAGACTGGATTTTCAACCAGACAAGGGAACATTTGTTTCTGTTCTGACTGCTTGCTCCTCTCTGACATCCTTACAAGAAGGCAGGCGAGTTCACTCGCTTGTTGTAAAGTATGGATATGGGTCAAACCTATCTGTTTGCAATGCCTTATTGTCAATGTACAGTAAGTGTGGCGGTGTTGTGGATTCAGAGTTGGCTTTTACAGAAATTCACAGCCTGGATGTTGTTTCATGGAACACCATTCTTGCTGGTTTTGCGCAACATGGTCTCTATGATAAAGCTTGTAGACTCTTCAATGAGATGTGTGCAAAGGGTTTTACTCCTAATGGAATAACTTTTCTTAGTATGTTGTCTGCTTGTGGTCACACTGGTAAGGTGAAGGATAGTATGTCGTGGTTTGATTCAATGGTTAAGGACTGTAAAATGTCTCCCAGCTCTGAGCATTATGCTTGTTTGGTTGATATATTATGTAGAGGGGGCAAATTAGAAAAGGCCTACAAAATTATTCAAGAAATGCCATTTGAAGGCAATTCTGGTGTTTGGGGAGCTCTTCTTGCAGCCTGTCATGTTTACTCGAATGTAGAACTCGGGGAGTTAGCTGCAACGAAAATACTGGAATTGGATCCTAACAATTCTGGGGCTTATGTGATGTTATCAAATATCTATGCTAGACGTGGTATGTGGAAGGAGGTTACTAAGGTAAGGCGTTCCATGAAAGAGCAGGGTATTAAGAAATCGAGTGCATATAGCTGGACAGAAATTGGTAATAAAGTGCACATTTTTGTGGGTGGGGCTGTAAGTCACCCAGAGATTGATAAAATATGTACAGCTCTAAAGCACATCAGCTTACATGTTAAAACTGCTGAAGATGTTACAGACTTGGTTTCAGAACTGACCTGTTTTGGCTCATAACTCAAGGTTGTTCATTGATGGTTTGATAAAAGGTGGCGCATTCATGGGAGTTCTGGAATGTATTGATAAGAAATTCTAGATGCACATTGCAACATAGAGTGGGATCTCCAGAGCTGATATCAGAAGCTGGATCATGCAATCGCTGCAAGCCTGCAACTAAAGGACAAGTTTTGAGGATTTAATGTTTTGATGTAGAGAAATCATTGTTGCATCCACGGGGGAATTACCTTGATGTTAGCTGATACTCTATTGCTGGGACCCCTAGCCAACTCAACATTATGGGTAGAATGTTAAATAGGTTGTGCAGGAATTTCTGACACTCGGACCCTTCAAATATGCTGGACTTGTTAGAAGTATCAGACTTGGATGTGTTGTCATTTCCAGGTATCTGTATCAATTTGAGTTTTCAGATAACGTGTTCGACATGTGTATGGCAAGGTTAATGGATATTTGGAGTACCAATCATGGAGTCTTCTATGAACCACTTTTCTTGTCACCAGATGATAACAAATTGGAACCTGGTACATTAATAGTTTGAAGTGATTGTTCCAGAGGTTCAGGTTCTTCTGTGACCATTAGGGAAAAAAAATACTGTATACAACAACATTTCTATCAGGTTTTCTCTGCTCAACTCTACATGGTTTAAAATATGAGATTAAAAACTGCAAATGTAGGGAAGGGGGTGTATTACTCTTCTTTTCCGGGATTTGTTGGTCATAAAATTTTGAATCCTAAATGGTTTCAATATGTCGGTAGCTCGGGCAAAATGGTTGATCTGCAGGAAGACTACATTTAGAGATTTTAAAAGAAAATGTGTTGTGGCAGGAATGTCAATAATAATAATTCTCTGAGCTTCTATTCTTCTTGAAGGCTTCCATTTTCGAACATTGAGGGCAAAATTAGACTTCTCAGTAAATCGTCACATTTGGATCCATATTTTATTAGTGCTGTAGCGGAGCTCTATAGAGTATGAAGTTGATGCTCATGATTCCTGAGTTGTTATCAGGTAAGCAATTCTTCCTGGTCAAAGCTGAATAGCGTTTTTGAAATTTATAATGCATATATGGGTGATATTCTTTGACAGTTTCATGAAGGTCCCGAATTAAACATTTAGAAGTTTGGCTGCTGCTTATAATCATGCTTTTATCAATCAAGGATAAATTTAGGAGTATTATTTTTTATTTTATTTTATTGTGAATGTCAATACTAGTAAAAAGGGATAAGCAGCTCATGACATCACCAACGGCAAACAGACTACATTGGTCATATGAGCTGATTTGAACCTTTCAAACAGTGGAATTTTCTTTATTTGATCAAAATATTCAAATTTGCATTTTACATTGGTTTCTAATCTAATGTCTGTCAAAATAATACAATCTGATTTATATGTATTTTCTATCTGTATGTATGGCTATGACCAGATGCGAATCACCAACCATCTCGACAGTTGACACGAGTCCCTTTTATCTCATGTTATCTCTAGTGATTTCCCTCATTATTTCAAATTTATTGCATTCATTTGAGAGCAATGACTATGGTCATTATTCCTATGTATTAGTATCGCGCTAAATTGGTAATAATCTCGAGGCAGTGGTTTTTTAGGAAAGGAAAGCCTCCAAGTTTGGAAAATATATTGAATGGCCACAAGTAAGAGATCTCATTCTTGGGTTAGCAGTGTTCCACATTCAAAGTATTCTTAGGCTTCTTCTCTGCCCTCACACTTGTTTTCTAAATATGGAAGATTCACATTACCATAGACTTTGCCTAAATTTAAGATAATGACCCTGTTAAATATATGTCCCATTTTTCTCTGTCCTCCTCTTTTGACTGATCTTGTTCTCCTCTCAACGAGGAAAAAAAAAAAAACCAAAAAAATTAAAAAAATTAAAAAAAAAAAAAAATTAAAAAAAAAAATAAAATTCTGGGTAGGGCTGGAGTTTGTTCATTTCTCAGGCTTTACTCATTCTAATCAAATCTTTTGGGGTTATTGGTTTACTTTTCATTACTGGTATTACATTTCCCCTATTATTTTTAGCAGGTCAAGATACTTGATATCGACTTTTTGAATAAATTTTTAATTTTAATAAAGGGGAAATAAATAAAATTCTGAACCTTTTTTTGTTGGAATTTTATCCAAAACTTGTCAGAAACTCAAAGGTGGTCAATCTTCTCAGGTATTGTTCAACTGCATGGCATATTAATTTGTTTTCTTGTTTCTTTTTGAGTTTGATTTATATTATCTTGAGTTTTAGGAGGATGCTGATTCTCATGCAATCCTTTCAAAGAAAATATTTGTCAGCGGTTCAGAGATGCAGGAGCAAATGATAAGCTATGATGACATCCAAGAAGAGCTCAACGAGGTGAAGGCTCGATCAAGGATAACGGAGAGGGAGAGAGATCACGCGTTTAACGAGATGAGAGAAATCAAGATGCAGATGGAAAATGCAGATATAAACAATCTGAAGGAAGCCCTTAGAGAAGCAAACAGGGATTTACAGATAAAGGATAAAACCATAAAGTCCCTGAGATCTGAGGTTGATAAGCTGAAGCAATTGGAATTTAAGTTGATTGAGACGGAAGCTTCACTACAGACGGTGAAAGAAGAGACAATCAGTTTTAAATCCTCTCTCGCTCAGGCAGAGGCCTCATTATCCGATAGCAGAAAGAAGGTGGATGAGTTAGTGGTTGAAGTAGGCAGAAGGAAGGATTCAGAAGAAAAGCTGTCTGAGTCGGTTGCTGCACAAACAAGCCAGATTGAGCAGTCCAATGTCTTGCTAGAAGAATCAAAGCTTCAAGTTACTTCACTTCTAGAGAAAATTCAGGAGTTGGAAGAGGAAAGACAAAGGAAAGATAAAGAGGCAGGGAAAGAGATAGAGAGGCTTAAAAATGAGGTTTCGGTGCACAAAGAAAATGCCTTTCGTGGCTATGGGAGGTATGAAACTGCATCTGTGGAGACGAAAACTTTGTTGGATGAGATTGATATTCTAAAGAATGAGCTGAAGCTGGCCGTGGAAGCAGAAGACAATAGTAAGAAGGCCATGGATGACCTTGCAGTGGCTTTAAAAGAAGTTGCTATCGAATCCAACCAGGCCAAGGAAAAGCTCACATCTACAGAGCAGCAGCTAGAAGCAATGAATGAGGAAGCAGCCAATTTAAAAAAAATGGTGAAGAGCACTGAAGAGGCATATGAAGCTCTTTTGAAAGCCTCGAAGAAAGAGAATGATATGCTGAAAAATACAGTTGACAGGTTAAGATTAGAGGCAGAGGAGTCTCTTTTGGCCTGGAATGACAGAGAAATCCAATTTGTAAACTGTATAAAGACGACTGATGATGAGAAAAATACTGCCCAAGAGGAATGCAATAAACTGGCTAAGTTGCTTAGAGAAGCTGAAGGGATGAACGAAAAATCAAAGGAAGAGAATAAGAATTTGAGAGATATACTTAAGCAAGCTCTGAGTGAAGCTAATGTGGCTAAAGAGGCTTCTAGTCTAGCTAGAGCTGAGAACTCTTACCTCAAGGATGCCCTTGTTGAGAAGGATAAAGCCCTTATTACCCTTGCTCAGGAAACTGAGCGCCTTCGAATCAATGAGGCCGAGTCAAATGACACTATTAAAGAATTGAAACGGGTAATTATTTCAGGATCTAAAAAAGAAATTGCAAAACTCGAGAAGGAGAACAAAGAGCAGAAGAAGGAGAAAGAAAACAAAGATCAGAAAAAGGAAAAGGAGAACAAAGAGCAGAGAAAAGTGGCAAAGAAAGAAACTGCAGCAGAGAACACAGAGAAGGATGCAAAAGAAGGCAGAAGATTGAGTAGTACATTCAGTTTTGATCTCAACCAGTTCTGGCCTTCGATTCCTGGTATAGCATGCAAGTCAAGCAAGGACATTGATGAGGACACAGATGAGGATGATGCCCTTGGTGGTTCCATATTCGACCTGGTAGGATCCCCGGTGAAGGACTACCATCGGCAAACAACATCATCTGGCAGTAGTGAAGAAAATCTGGTTTTTGATAACTTCGACGAGGATGCACAGTTTGATGATATGGAGATGGATAGGGCGTCACAAGGGAAGAGGAAAGCGTTGCTAAGGAGATTTGGTGACCTCTTGCGGAGGAAAAATTCTCACCCACCAAAGGACTTACCTCACCCAGCAAAAGATGTACCACCCTCACCAAAGGAGATAGCAGCTTAGTTAGTTAGCTGAATCCTTATCAACTTTAAACAATCTTATTTTTGCTAGTAGTCTCAAAGTCTGTTTTCGTGTTAGATCTCTCATTTTGTTGACGCCCACTATTTGGGGGTGATCGGAGGAAAAAATAGCACATACTGTAGATTTTAGAAGAATATACCATTCAATAACCTGTAATACTCCTTGCAAATACTTACAAGATAAGGAGTTAATTTAATTATGGTCAGTGTAAGTTTCTATCTACTTATATCAACTGTTAGGATTCTGCACCCATCCAAGCTGCAACTTGACACCAATCCATTCCAAAAGGCAGCACTATTTTGAAATTATAGCATACTTTTGATAATTCACAAATGAGCTAATATCAAGTTTTTGCACATTTGTGATTGGTAGAGCTCATTAGAAATTTCTACGCGCTGATGGAACTGCTCACTCAGGTTACTTCCAGTTTGTTTGGCACCCACGACATGTCGATATGGCAAGTCTTACCAGTACAGCAGTGTAAAAACCATCATCCTACAAAGTGGCATTCTCATGCATCTGGTGGGAAATGAATTGCCTACATCAGGTTGAATCTTTTGATTTGAATCGGGTCATTTCTAGTCTTTTTTTTTTCTAGATTTGAAATATCAATCAATAGAGTATGTAAACAGAGAAATAAATAGCAAAGGAGCCATTTTGTTAAATTTAAAAAGTAGTTGATGTTGGTTCATATTTGAGTCTGAAAGTTAAGACAACCAAAGAGCTGCAACAGACCTCTATCATACACATTGACTTTGGAAATTCGAGCACCCGACTTAAAGCGTACCTTACTACCTACTAGTAATTTCAATCAGAAACAATAAGATATGCCTGTGCTAAGAAAACAACCATTAAAGCGGACACGATTCTAAGCACTCATTTCTGTGACTAGCACCAAAAATTTAAGTAAATACTACGGATATAATCAGATAACTGATGTAGTGAACCTTTTAGCCTTTTTAACTACTACACCGTACTTCAAATCTCATGAATATGACAGGAAAAAAGATTTTGAGTCAATAGAAAAAGAGTTCAAAAAGTTTTTCAAAAGATAACTAAAGAATAAGGACATTTTGTCATTGAGGAGAATATGCATTTTTGAAGTTTTATCCATCTCGTATCCTCGTGCGAAATGATATAAATGGCTAATTATGATTTCTCAGAATTTTGATACTAGCTGAGGGCAGATGAATACAAACTTAAGAGTTAAGATCATCAATTGTTGGAATAAGTTTTTTTTTTTTTTTTTGAAACAATAGTTGGAATAAGTTAAATAAGCACAAATTTGAGATATTTTATGGAGTATGTTTTATATTTGGATTGTGTAACAGGTTTATGTATGGTTAATTATTTATGCATCTAGAATTGCTGGATTGAGGAAATTTGTATGTATTCTTACTTCTTAGTAGAGCTGTCAATTCGGGTAAACGAGTCGGGTTTGGGTCAGGTAAGAGTGGGTCGGGTTAACTCGGGTTGGGTCAATTCAGACTAATTCCATAACCTATGCGGGTCGGGTTTGGGTTGAGTCATGCTTGAGTCGGGTCACATCGGGTCATACTTCTTATTGGGTTTGGGTCGGGTTTAGGTCGGGTTAATAACAGGTCGGGTTACATTCGGATCGGGTGAACAATAAGTCGGGTTTAATTCGGGTTTTCACGGGTTATAACGGGTTAGGGTAATTCTCGGGTTCGGTTCAAGTCATAATTTGCGGGTTAGAATCAGGTCGGGTCATTCTCGGGTTTAAGTCGGGTTTCGTTCAAGTCAATAATTTGCGGATTATAATCAGGTCGGGTCATTTTCAAGTCGGTCTCAGGTTCAAGTCGGATTCGGTTCAAGTCAATAATTTGCGGGTTATAATCTTGGGGTATTTCCAAGTCGGGTCATTCTCGGATTCAAGTCGGATTATTTTCAAGTCAATAATTTGCAGGTTACAATCTGGTCGGGTCATTTCCAAGTCAGGTCATATTCGGGTTCAACTAATTATAAATATATAATTATCATTTTTAGCAATCTAATTATTTCCTTTGACTATAATATATATGACAATATACGAGGGAACTATAGTCTATGATTTATGAAGATAATTATCTCCTTTGACAATACAACAAATATATACTATATTTAACTCTTAAATTTGAGGATGATGCTCCTTTATTTTGTTGGCCTGCACTGACTGACCCTCCCAAGAGAAAATGCTTTGATAAACAATAATAAGGTAGTCTAAATTGCATTTAAGGTGATTTGAAATCGGGTCAGGAACAATTTGGGTTGAATTTAGGTCGGGTCAATAACAAGTCGTGTTAATTTCGAGTCGAGTTAGTTACAGATCGGGTTGGGTAAATAATAGGTATGGTAAAAATTTGTGTCAGGTCAATAACAAGTAGGGTTGAATTTGGGTCAGGTCAATAACAAGTCGGGTTGATTTCGGGTCGGGTTTGTAACAGGTTGAGTTAAATTCGGGTTGGAATAGAAACGAGTCAGGTTGAATTCAGGTATGGTTAGTAACAAGTTGGGTTAAATTCGGGTTTTGACGGGTTAAAATGGGTTTGGGTCAATTTCGGTTCAAGTCGGGTTCGGTACAAGTCCATAAAATTGGCGTTGTAAACCGTTATATCGGTGCAAGTTGTAAAACGGTAAATTGGTCATTTAAAAGCAAATTGAATGGTTCCACACACCCAATTGGATTGCCGGAGGGTATTAGGGACCTTGGTAAACATTTTTGCAATTTTTATTTCCAAGCGAAAAAAGTCAAAAAATTCCAAAATTGAAGGCTAATATCCACGCTTTTTGAGAAAATTTGAAGATTTCGAGGCTCAGTGTTGAAAAGTCTTGAAATTCTATTGGATAAATCTCAGGGTCATATAATGCCGTTTGAAACCATACATGATCATTATTTGTTTCCTAAATGTTCGTGGTAGGCTTGAATTAATGAAATCGGTGCAAGTTGTAAACCGGTAAATTGGTCGTTTAAAGGCAAATTGGATGGTTCCACCCACCCAATTGGATTCCCAGAGGGTATTATGGACAATGATAAACATTTCAGAAATTTTTATTTCCGGGTGAAAAAAAGTAAAAAAATTCTTAAATTGAAGACTAATATCCACGTTTTTTGAGTAATTTTTGAGGTTTTGAGGCCCGGTGTCGAAAAGGTTTGAGATTTGAGGGGATACATCTCATGGTCATATAATACTGTTTTAAACCATAAATGATCATTATATGTTGTCTTAAACGTTCGTGGTAGGCTTGAGTTAATGAAATCGGTGAAAGATGTCAATCGGTAAATTCGCCATTTAAAGACACATTGGATGGTTCTACCCACCTAATTGGACACCCGGATTGTATTAGGGAATATGGTAAACATTTCGGCAATTTTTATTTACAGGTGAAAAAAAGTCAAAAAATTCCAAAATTTAAGGCTAATATCCACGATTTTTGAGAAATTTTGGAGGTTTTGAGGCCCGGTATCCAAAAAACTTGAGATTTTAGGGGATACATCTCGGAGTCATATAACGTCGTTTGGCACTATATATGATCATTATATGTTGTCATGAATATTCGTGGTAGGCTTGAGTTAATAAAATCGGTACAAGTTGTAAACCGGTAAATTGACCGTTTAAAGGCAAATTGGATGGTTCCACCCAGCCAATTGGACTCCCGGAGGATATCAGGGACCATGTTAAACATTTTGGCAATTTTTATTTTCGAGCGAAAACAGTTAAAAAAAATTCAAAAATCGAAAACTAATATCCATGCATTTTGCGAAATTTTGAATGTTTTATGAATCGGTGTCGAAAAGTCTTGAAATTCCAGGAAATATATATTGGTGTCATATAATGCCGTTTGCAACCATATATGATTATTATATGTCGTCATAAATGTTCGTGGTAGGCTTGAGTTAACGAAATCGGTGCAAGTTGTAAATCGGTAAATTAGTCGTTTAAAGGCAAATTGAATGGTTTCACCCACCCAATGAGCTCCCGGAGGATATTAGGGAATATGGTAAATATTTAGTTAATTTTTATTTTCGGGCGAAAAAAGTAAAAAAATTCCAAAATTGAAGGCTAATATCCACGTTTTTTGAGAAACTTTGGAGGTTTTGGGGCCTGCTGTCAAAAAGCCTTAAGATTTTAGAGGATATATCTCAGGGTCATATATTGCCATTTGGAACTATAAAGGATCATTATATGTTGTCATTAAGGTTCGTGGTAGACTTGAATTAATGAAATCGATGCAAGTTGGAAATCGGTTAATAGGCCGTTTAAAGGCAAATTTGATGGTTCCACCCAGCCAATTGGACTCCCGGAGGGTATCAGGAACCATGGTAAACATTTCGGCAATTTTTATTTTCGGGCAAAAAAAAGTCAAAAAATTCCAAAATTAAAGGCTAATATCCACGTTTTTTGAGAAATTTTTGAGGTTTCGGAGCCTGGTGTCGAAATGCTTTGAGATTTTAGGGGATACATCTCGGGATCATATAATACTGTTTAAACCATAAATGATCATTGTATGTTGTCATAAATGTTCGTGGTAGCCTTGAGTTAATGAAATCGGTGCAAGTTGTAAACCGGTAAATTGGCCGTTTAAAGGCAAATCATATGGTTCCACCCACCTAATTAGACTCTCGGATGGTATTAAGGACCATGGTAAACATTTCGGCAATTTTTATTTCCTGGCGAATAAAAAGTCAAAAAATTCGAAAATTAAAGGCTAAATGTCCACGTTTATTGAGAAATTTTGGAGGATTCGGGGCCAGGTGTCGAAAAGGCTTGAGATTTTAGGACATAACTCTCGGGGTCATATAATGCTGTTTTGAACCATATATGATCATTATATGTTGTCATAAATGTTCGTGGTAGGCTTAAATTAATGAAATAAGACAAATCAGTGCAAGTTGTAAATCGGTAAATTGGTCGTTTAAAGGCTAATTGGATTGTTCCACCCACCCAATTGGACTCCCGAAGAGTATTTGGGACCATGGTAAACATTTCGGCAATTTTTAAATCCGGGCGAAAAAAGTCAAAAAAAATTCAAAAATTGAAGGCTAATATCCACGTTTTGTGAGAAATTTCGAATGTTTCCGGGCTCGGTGTCGAAAAGCATTGAGACTTTTGGGGATACATCTCGGAGTCATATAATGTCGTTTGGAACCATATATGATCATTATATGTTTTCATAAATGTTTGTGGTAAGCTTGAGTTAATGAAATCGGTTCAAGTTGTAAACCGGTAAATAGGCCGTTTAAAGGCAAATTGGTTGGTTCCACCCATACATTGGACTCCCGGAGGATATTAGGGACCATGGTAAACATTTTGGCAATTTTTTTATGAGCGAAAAAAAGTCAAAAAATTCAAAAATTGAAGGATATCCACGCGTTTTGAAAAATTTTAGTGTATTCAGGGCAAGGTGTCTAAAAGTCTCGAAATTTTAGGGAATACATATCTGGGTCATATAATGTCATTTGGAATTATATGTGATCATTATTTGTTGTCATAAATGTTCGTTGTAAGCTTGAGTTAATGAAATCGGTGCAAGTTGTAAATCGGTAAATTGGATGTTTAAAGGCAAATTGGATGGTTCCACCCACCCAATTGGACCCCTAGAGGATGTTTGGGACCATGGTAAACATTTCGGCAATTTTTATTTACGGACGAAAAAAAGTTAAAAAATTACTAAATTGAAGGCTAATATTCACGCTTTTTGAGAAATTTTTTAGGTTTCAGGGCCCGGTGTCGAAATGCTTTGAGATTTTATGGAATACATCTTGGGGTCATATAATACTGTTTTAAACCATAAATGATCATTATATGTTGTCATAAACGTTCGTGACAGGCTTGAGTTAATGAAATCGGTGCAAGTTGTAAACCGGTAAATTCACCCTTTAATGGCAAATTGGATGGTTCCACCCACCTAATTGGACTACCGGAGGATATTGGGGAACATGGTAAACATTTCGGCAATTTTATTTACAGGCGAAAAAAAAAGTCCAAAAAATCCAAAATTGAAGGCTAATATCTACGCTGGTAAAATTCGGGTCCGGACAATAACAAGTCGGGTTGAGTTTGGGTCAGGTCAATAACAAGTCTGGTTGATTTCGGGTCGGGTTTGTAACAGGTGTGGTTAGGAACGGGTGGGGTTGGATTCAGGTTCAGGTTAGTAACAAGTCGGGTTAAATTAGGGTTTTGACGGGTTAAAACGGGTTGGGGTCAATTTCGGTTCAAGTCGGGGTTGATTCAGGTCAATAATTTACAGGTTACTTTCGGGTCGGGTCATCTCCAGGTCAGTTCATGTTCGGGTTCGGGTCACACATACTCGGGTCAACTCGGGTCTAGGGTTGGTTTAAGTCGGGTTTAGGTCACCATTTTTTCGGGTTCAGATGGGTCGGTTAATAATCGGGTTTGAGTCGATATTTCTGGTTGGATCAACTTTTGACAGCTCTACTTCTTAGTAATCAATTGCCTTAAATTATTAAATACATCCATACATGGCCTGAAAAATACTAAAACTATTGTGTGTGTCTCATTTTGAAACTGACACTTTTTACTTTCAGCTGCTTCTACTGAGCTGAACTGATTGAAGTTAAACTAAATTGAATATTTTATGAGATAAGGAAATGAACGAACTGATTGGAGTTGAACTAAACTGAGCTGAAATTAAGCAGAAGAAAATAGGTCCTTAGTACTTCAAAGAATAAGAACATTTTACCAAGGAAATGCAAATTATAAGTTTATGACCAGTGAAGAAAATAGGTCCTTAGTACTTTAAAGCATAAGAACATTTTACCAAGGAAATGCAAATTATAAGTTTATGACTAGTGAAGAAAATAGGTCCTTAGTACTTCAAAGAAGAAGAACATTTTACCAAGGAAATGCAAATTATAAGTTTATCACAATTTTACCATAACGCAATTTTCTTGAATTCGTTGAAATAATGTGAACAGTACAGGGTTTAAATTATGGCATTAAGTACTCCTAATCCCCTATGACTAGTTAAGACAGTCAAAAGAAGCTAACAACTTCACTACCAAAAAAACACCTAAACAGAATTGAAATTGGCAAAAGGCAGCTAAACAGAATCAACCCAAAGAAACAAATTGATCTGTAACCATTAAATTTAATGCAACTTGGCTTGTACTTTCATGCTTTGTTAAAAAATTTCAATCAGAACCCATATAGTGGGATCTATGCACTAATACACACGGCAAAAGGCGAATACCCGGTGGCATCGCGAATCCAAAAAAGAGATAGAGGTAGGCAGGCCACCAATTGAGATAGAGATTAAAAATACGATATTGTTTGATATAATTTAGAAATAAGAATCAAGATAACAGCTAGGAACTGTCAAATATTCAGCAGCACCCTCAATTCAAAAATTAAACCATAGCAAATCAAAAGGCAAATCCTAATTCTAAACAATGAGCTTTCAGAGCTTTCACTTTTCTTCATCCTGCTTGTTGGATGCCTCTTTGATCTCGTCAGCTCCATCCTCCTGCAATAGAAAATACAGACCCATTAAGGAACGAAATGGCAACAGACATAGTATAATGCAGATTCGAGTAATGAGTTAACTATTCCCTACCAGCATGTCGGAGGTCCACAAAGTCAGGTTATCCCGGAGAAGCTGCATAATTAGAGTGCTGTCTTTGTAGGAATCTTCCCCAAGGGTGTCCAACTCAGCAATTGCTTCATCAAAGGCCTTGAGAAAGAAATGACATTGTTAAATGAAAAAAAAGAGCTCATAGTATGTAGCATGTCAGCATAGATCTTGCGGAATTATTTTCAAATAAAGCCACACATATACAGCTGATAAATGGTTAACAGCATGTTACAAAGTCGAAAACAGTATACCATTCTATCATACAAAATCATCTGTAGTGAAAAATACTACCCCCCAGTTGTTTAATGCATAATGTAGGTTATGTAGCTAACTAATGTAATTGATGAATGTCCAACATTTCAAGACATAAAGCATTGTAAGTAAATTGTTAATCATTTCCACGGTAAATGGTTAATCCGGTTAAATGATTTTCAGAGATGATCATCTAACACGAGAAACCAATGTTAGGCTTGCTAGTTGAATACAGGAAGGAAAGTCCCTTTATGTAATACAAAGCTTGTGACATGCTGAATTAAAACGAAGATGAAAAACAAAACTGTAAATTAAGCAAGAAAAGAGAATCTCTTTCTGGTCTTGATATGAAAATGGAGGTATCTCTGCCCTAGTTATAATTCTTACCTGTTTAGCTAAGTTGCAGGCACGATCAGGAGAATTGAGAATCTCATAGTAGAAAACTGAGAAGTTAAGTGCAAGACCAAGACGGATAGGATGTGTTGGAGGCAAGTCAGCATTTGCAATATCCTGCTAAATGAAAAGGACGGGCATTAGTCATAAGTTGGCTAACAACGCCACATACCCTCGACCCATAACAATCAACAACCAAACTCATAACAATTAACCAAACAGAACATTCAACAAAAGAATTCTTTGAAAGTACATAAGACGACATCTTCAAAACAGCAACCACAACCACAACCAATAACAGAAACACGTCAAACAAAGAACAAAATATAGCGATCACTAAGCCTGGGACAATGATCCATTATCCCATCAAAATTGACAATCCTTATATTCTTATATTATGACTAGTTGATAACACATTATAATATCGCTTTCATCACATTTTCCCTGTAATGCAATTCAGATTTTCTTCTCAGTTCGCCAATCCTAAGATCAATAATACTTCGTACATTTTTCTGTACTAACCACTTCTCTAATGACAAACCACCTTTTCAAATTCCTACTTCCCTTTGGTTACACCTTTATGCATCAACAAATTCACGAAAGAAAATTAAGATCAACATCCATTGTCTCAATATGTAAAGTTTAATGCAATTAGCATCTTATGATTGAACAAATTGTCAAAATTCCAACACAAATATCAATGTCACTTTCTCCAAAGGTATATAACAACATAAAACAAAGATTTCCAATCACTTTCACATTAATAATTTTGATGATCTCTTTCAACGTTTCCTCATACCAATCACCAGTGTCACATCAAACAAGTTTTCAGACAAACAATCAAAATATGAATCAATTAATCACACATTATGCAAAATTAATTCAAAATTAACAATTAGATAGGCCAACATTAACAATATAAACCACGATTAACACAATGCCGATGAATTACCAACAATCTAAACAAAAAAACATTAATCCGATCCTAATTTCAACCAAATTTCCACCAAAAAATGATTCAAAATAAAACTAAAAAGCTAAATCAATCAAATCGCAAAACAAATCGAACAAATTACAAAATGAAAAAAATCGAAGAAATTAAAAAAACAAAATACCTGAGCAGCTTTGTAAGCAGAGAGAGTATTCTCAGCAGCCTCCTTCCTTTCAGATCCAGTCTTAAACTCAGCCAAATAACGATAATAATCACCTTTCATCTTGAGATAAAAGACCTTAGAATCGGCACTAATAGCAACAGGAATAAGCTTAGATTCCAGAAGCTTCAAAATGCCATCACAAATGTTAGAAAGTTCAGATTCAATCTTAGATCTGTAACCTCTAATGGTGGAAACATGATCTTCATTTCCGCGACTTTCTTCCTTTTGTTCGATCGATGAAACGATCCGCCATGAAGCACGACGAGCACCAATGACGTTTTTGTAGGCGACGGAGAGAAGGTTGCGCTCTTCGACGGTAAGTTCTTCGCCTTCGCAAGCGGCTGAAACGACTTTCTCCATGAATTCTACCATTTCTTCGTAACGTTCGGCTTGTTCGGCGAGTTTCGCCATGTATACGTTCTCATCTCTTGCTGTAGATGCCGCCATTGTTGTAGTTTGAAGGTTTTTTTTTTTTTTTTTTTTTTTCTGAGATTTGAGTTTTGATTTTGGGTGTTTTTTTTTTTTTTTTTTTAATTTTTAGGGATTTTGAAATTTGAAACAAATTAGAGTCTAAGGATTCGGAGAAATTGGAGGAAGAAAGTGAACAGGGTGCCAGCTATATAACCCCGCATCACGCGGTCTTCAGGTTTCTCTTTTTAATCCTTTTTTAGGTTTTTTTTTTTTTTTTTTTTTTTTACTCGTACTCGTTACTCTTACTCCGTATTTTATTTTTATACTACGTATTTACTCCGTACATTTTCTTAATTTACTTTTGGGGAGTGTACTAGCAAAAAAAAATTACTCTGTATTTACAAAATTATCCTTGAATCAACTAAGGTTATCCGATTAACTGACCTGAAAACTTGATTTAAAATCTAAGCTCTGTTCGAAATCATTTGAATTGATTTGGATCAATTCATCTGACTCGTTAGTAAATGATTATCGTGTTAAAATAAGCACATTGGCAATTGAATAAAAAATGTTATGATTAGGGGTCTGCTCACTTCAGCTTAATTTCAATTCAGAAGCTCCTAATTTCCTTCTCTCATAAAATATTAATTTCATATTAATTCAATTCAGTTCAGTAAATATAAACAGACCCTAATCTAAGCATGAAATTATCTTGAACAAGTATTACCCAAAAATGACCCAACTCGGATCAATGCAATCCGGAAAAAACCCAATTTATCAGTTCATTTTAAGCTTTTAATTACTATCCATATGATACTTGTATAAATTTAAAAATGCAAGTATAGTATGTATCATTTTCCTATATCTAAATGCAATGTCTTGCAAACATCTACCAACTATTTTACATCCTTATCGAATTAATATAATGTTTTTATACAGTAATTTAACCGAGTATGAGTATTTATTTGTAACATACAGTACTAATTACTACGTATTAAATACCACTGCTTCATCACTTTAAGACCACCTTATAAAGTTATAAGTGAGTTGGGCCAAGAATAGCGAGAAATTGAGTCCATGTTTTGTTGTTTTACTATGGGCCCATAAAAATAGTCTTATGATAATAAAACGGTTTTACACAAATATTGCAACGTTATTGAGTGTGTTGGTCAAAGTTTGTTAGGAGTATATATTTTTACGGAGTAACTTTTAATTGCATGGAGACGATGGAATATTTCAACCATGTTCTTTCATGAAAAAAATGGGTGGATTTATACGAATTATTTGTTTACTGAATCAATGGATTAAACAAAGATCAATAATGACCGTCTCACATTTACCTGTTTCGTACGGAGTAACTGCTTATAAACTCCTTACCATTATATGTAATTTTGCATGAATATTATGGGATCAATACCTTATTAATAGAATTCAACCTCCATACATGTGTTTTTGTTCCTTATTTTCTATTACCACACAATAAACCATTAAAATAGTTCACCAATTGGGTGTTGGTGTAGTGGTGATTGGGACTACACTTGGTAGGGAGGACCTGTGTTCGATCCCCCGCAACAACAATTGGGAGGGGATTGGAACCTAACCACCCAAAACTGATCCCCGAATTCGGATTAGCCCAAAAGGGTGAACCGGGTAGAACACCAAAAAAAAAATAATGAATTGTAATGAAAATTTGTGAGCAACAAATGAGTTTTTTTTTTATTATTATTATTTATTTTTTTTATTTTTTTAATAGCATAAGTGCATTACCAAATGTATGGGCTTGATGGCATGAAATTTTCTTCATAAGCTTTCTTATCAAATGTCAATCTCAATGACCTCAAAATAATCATACTTACGATTCAAGAGTTACATACACTACGCAATTAGTTAAGCCATGAACAACAATAATTCAATCTATAGCTGCAACAATAAGCTAAGAAACTGCGATTGTACGATCAATGAACGATGTATAAACTAGGAAAGGGTGACTCTTATAGACTCAGACTCTCAATGATCTGAGACGCGTGTATGTTTTGGTGTGTTAGGGGCAGAAATGGAGAAGATGACCTAAAAAACATCTTTGTAGGCGAACATCTATTGAACAAGAAACAGAGTGGTTCATGCTTCGGATGCAGCATGCAGGGAATAATTAATTAAGTGGGTAACATTTAATTTGAATCTGTTCCTGCTTGATTCTACTTCCGTCAATGTCTGAGGACTGGTAATGGTTTACCGTCCAATTACTCACCTACACAGTCAATACAGATTAGCTAACCCGGGGGTTATCCGGGAATAACCACTCCGATGCTAAAGTTAGTACCTTTGTGAGAAGAAAGTGAAAGAAGAGAGAGAAAATGTTTTAGAGAGAGAGAGAGAGATTCTACCTCTGAAATGAGAATTTGTTTAGGTATTTATAGGAACGCAACCAAGCAGGTGCCACCTATACAGATAGGTGGCACACTGACCTTGGTACTAGCAGGTGCTTACGCGGCACTAAGCAGCCCTCCACGTGTCAGTGGGACATGCCACGTTCCGAGAAGCAGCTCTCCACGTGGTAAAGACTAATGCCGGTAAGGACATGAATTATTCAATAAGTAACCATTTCTTTAAACTGCAAGGCACTCTTTTACCGGCATGTTATGATACTACCGGTATATCCCGTACAACTAGCCCCCAAGTGAGGACGTTAGTAAAACTGACGTGCTCACTTGTGATGGAAACATGGTGGTGGTATGTACAAAGCAGCATACAAGCATGCTTAGAAAACAAACAGAAAATCTGCGATTTGCCCCCCAAGCGAGCAAATTGACGGTAGTAATTTACTCAATAAATCAACAAGAAAAAATCTACGATTTGCCCCCCAAGTGAGCAAATTGACGGTAGTAATTTACTCAATAAATCAACAAGAAAAAATCTACGATTTTCCCCCCAAGTGAGCAAATTGACGGTAGTAATTTACTTAATAAATCAACGAGAAAAAAATCTACGATTTGCCCCCCAAGTGAGCAAATTGACGGTAGTAACTTTGGTCAATAAAGCATGGAAAAAATGCCGACATGGTTATTGTGAATTAAATATGAAACCGAAAATAGGAGGTAAAACGATTTGTTGTTTATTTAAAAATTTATCCCCCAGGATTTGGCGGGAAAATGTAATAAGGTAATGGGGCACGTGTCAGTCATCGAAGCAGGTTAATTTTGAAAAGGTGTTTATCACAGCCGTTGGATTACATGCAGTAAATGTCACATCAACCGCTTCATTCGGACAGTATAAATAGCTTATTTCGCACTTTGACCCTTCATTTCCTTTGCGAAAAAATTTCGAAAAATTTCTACTTCACTTCGCTCGTACCGCGCTTATATTTCTGCGATTCAAGGCTCAATTTGTCAAGGGTTTGTTCAGTTGTGTTGTGACCGGTGTTTGTAAACGGAGGACACTTAATTTCCGAGTTACGCTTCAAGAGTTGAGTTCAAAAAGAGGTAAAAAACCCTAACTCTCTTTTCGATTTTTCGCTGGTTTGTGGTTAAGTAGTTTTGTGTTTATTTCATTATTTGTGAATGTCTGGTTCTGGAATGCATGCGAATACGGGTAAAGCCAATGAGGCTGAACTCTGTACCCCCTTAACTTCTATAGAAGAAAGAGAAGCTTATTACCGTCATAAATTTCTGGCTGACGCCGAGAAGGCTTTGCGTCCTACCAACCCCGATATCCCAGAGGACACAGAGATTATCGACGTTGAGCCTATTAGCGTTCAATATCATTTAAGGTCAAACTTGGATTTGTTTAATTAATACGGCACTAATATTGACAGGATGCCGAGAACCAAACATACCAGTTTCCAACGTGAGGTTGGTGAAAGCAGTAGACCTGCTGTTGATGAAGAAGTTGGTGACCCTGAGCATGAAGCTTCGGATATCCGAGAAGAAGATATCCGGTCTGTTGAGGAAAGCCTAGACCGTCAAGAAAGTGGGGGTGATAGCATCGGTAATGAAAATGCAGAGGGATCAGAAAATCTTGAGGGAGGAGATGATGAGGAGGAAGGCGACGAGACCGACGAGGAAATTGTTGCGGATTTCAATGTTGCTGCTCAGATCGCAGACGAAGAACGTCTCGACGAGAAATATGACTCAGACCAAGATGATGCAAAATATCTAGTACCACAAGAAATCCCTAGCAGTTATGAGATAAATGACTGCGTCGTGGATCCAGTATGGTTGCAGACAGCGACCGAGAAAGATTACTGTCAACATGGTAAACGCTTCTACCGTCTACCTGACGGATATGAACTCAGATTACCGGGCACAGGTCAAACGGCCTTGGACTGTCCTCCCGGCCATATCGTCGTATATGCCAAACATTTTGAATTTGGCTTACGGTTTCTGCTTCACCACTATATTGAAAAAATATTTCGGGCTTGGAATGTATTTATTGCACAGTTAACGCCTCCAACCATTCGCAACATAGTCTCTCTTGTCTGGGTAATGATCTTCATGGACTTTCCCCTTACCTTGAACCTTTTTAGGAGGCTACATTGGATAAAGAGAGACAGCCAATCACCTGGGTGGTGGTCTTTGTTTACTGTTCCCGGTAAATGCACAGTGTGGCCGAAATTGACCAGTTGCAAGAACTGGAAGAATGAATTTTATTTTATGAGTGTGCCTGACGATTTTACCGTCCGTAGGACATTTCATCATCCACACAGCATGTTCGAGACCATACGGTCGAGAGCGTTAGGACCGATGGAGAAAAAGGCTTTTAAATGGTTTAATTGTACATATGTTAGGGCTGGTAAGAAGAATAAAGTTGTTCCGGGGGTGTGGTTGCCCCATTGTAATTATATACTGGGCAACGCCCCTCTATCTCATGTCGGTCTCTGTCATACCGATGCATTTGGTATGGAAATGTTATTAAATTATCTTTACATGTATTTAAATTTATCTTTACTGTTTGCGCACTTTGTCTTTGATAATAATTTCTATAAGTACCCTGCCTGTCCTCTCTTACCTGCATGCGTGTTCCTTAACACACTATATATATACATAGTAATTCTTTCGTTTTCGTTTTTTCGTTTTTTTTTTTTTTTACCTTTATAATGTTTATTTTCGACGTTCCTTATCGGTTGTGTCTCTCGCCAGGTATTGATAAACTCGACTTCAGCCGGCTAGGCTTGCATCCTGACGGGCGAGTGAAACAACAGTGCCCCGATCGGCCGAGGAAGTCATACGACACTCTCCCCGCCTTTGCCACTAGAGCCAGCAAAAGAAAAAGAACAAGAGTACAAGACATGGCTCCTACTGACCGCGCTACCAGACCTCGCACCCTAGCTGTGAAAAGGGGTGGAGGAAATGCGTCAAAGAGGACATCTGAGTCCTCCGACCGAGAACAACAACAACAACAAAAAAAAAACAAAAACATCATGACAATGAGGCGGCATCCTTCGAACAGGATGCACAAGGGATCTGGCCGGAAGGGGTAGTTAACCTGGAGGATGAGACCGAAACCCAACCGCTGAGAAAACTGACAGTCACCTTGAGGGACCCGACTGCTTCCAGTGCCGACATCGACAAGCCTCCTCCCAAGGAGACTCCGGCGGTCGTTTCGACGCGCTCTGGCGGTCTCAGCAAGGGCGCTTTCGTCCCTGCCCTTGTCAGCGACTTCATCGAGATTCCACACGTCAGAATCCCGGAAGGAGTTGCTGAGGAATTAGCTGTACCGTTCGGTGCTGCCGGTGATCCATGGCATCCCCGAATCAATGTTAATCGTGGGGAGTCCGTTCTTAGTGACGACCCTAACACTGGCGGGAGCATGGGGTGGAGAATGCTGAAGGATTTGGCAACTCCAGCCGACAGGCCAGCCAATCGCATTGCCGCTCCCTGTGGCCAGCTTATGAACAATATGCTCCGGGTAAGTCATCATTATTACCTTTAGGTGCCTGTCATTTCTAAGTTCTATCATTATTACTAACGGCAATTTCTGTCACCGTCAATTTAGACCGTCAACTCTGTTGTCGAGGTGGTGCACATGTACCAGCATTATCAGCGCGCCGCCGATAATGCCGAGACCAGGCTGAAGAAGGCTGATGACGCTTGCAAGCTCGTCGTCAAGGAGCGCGACAAGGTTAGATCTGATGTAAAGACCTTGCAAAAGCAAGTGTCTGAGCTGAACAGGAAGCTGACGGACCAGGAGCTATTGCAAAAGATGGTAGCCAGCCTCGAGCAGAGCCTGAAGGACGAGAGGGATGCTAAGGCTAAGATGGCCAGCCAAGTTGAGGAGATGGAGCGCGACAAGCCGGGAATCAGGCGCCGAGCCGTTAATCGGTTCCTGCAGACCGACCTCTATGCCAACTTGCTGGTTGACCGGTACACTGCCGGCTGGGTCTCTGCGCATCGCTGTGTGTGCAAAGCGGAGGGGTGGGATTCGACGAAATGGCAGGCCGTCGAGAAGGCCTTTAACGAAGAAATGAACCACTCTCCTACCAGCTATGAGAGTGAGTACTTTGACGAGCTCCCCCCGCATGCTGTGATAACCAATTTAGACCCACGTGAGTTGCCGGAAGTGGAGTTTGATGACGCCCTTATCAGTAGCCCTATTGCCACTCATGCTGGCAAAGATGGGTCTGCCGGTCCCTCCAGTAAAGAAGCTGAAAAAGAGCCTGTTAACGCGGGTGAATCAACCAAGGAGGCCGACAAGAATTAATCAGGAGGGCAGTCATCTCTGGGCTGTAATATTCATGCTTGTCTGTATCTGTTTTATGCTTCAAACAATTATATCCGTCTGTATTATGTCACATTTTTTCTTTCATTCGTTTTGAACATTTTATTTGCGTATGTATGTACTCGGTACAATTTATTTCTTTCAATCCTTACCGTAATCCTTACTGCCGTGATTATTTTGTTTATGCTATGGTCGTTATTTTACCTTTTAACTAACATTTAATGATTGCCCTCCTTGAATCGCATTTTAGTTACTCCTTGATTTTTAACATGAATTTACGTTTTCGGCTTTCAAAATTACACTTCTTGGTATTTTATTTGCGATTTAAAATTTTTGGAGGACCTAAATTACACTTCTTGGTATTTTTGATTTAAAATTACGTTATCGGCATTTTCAAAATACATCTTACCAATAATACTTTATTATCAGTATTTCTAAGATATACCTACATCTAACCAATAATACTTTATTATCGGTATTTCTAAGATATACCCTACCAATAATACTCCCCGAGTTTTTTCGGCAGAATTTATTCGTAAACAAATTCTGGGAAAACTCTAGAATGCCTGTGCCGAATATCGGATATAAATCATACCGAGATAAAGTATCCAACCTTTGTCAGGCTGAGCAAAGGCAGTGGATCAGACCGCGCTTTCAACTCCCCTTGAGGTCCATTATCATTATTATTATATATTTTTTATATTCCCTCACTTGAACGACCGAGTCAGCTAGCTAGGCTGTGATCAGATCGTATCGAAAGTAGGTAATACGATTGTATTTCATAAGTGTTGAAATAGATTACAATACTAGCAAATGCCGTTAACATACGTGTGACAACATGGCATCAAATAGATACATAAAATAGAACATATTTACGTTTCACATGAAATATTTCTTTAACACACTAGCGTTCCAAACATTCTTCAGGGGAACACCTTCAAGGGTCATTAGCCGATAAGACCCTTGCCTAAGTGTTTCATATATTTGGTAAGGCCCCTCCCAAGTTGCAGTGAATTTACCCTCTACGTTCCCTTTACCGGTCGCGGCTGTCCTACGCAGAACTAAATCACCATCTTCCATGGGCCGATAATTGACGCGCCGATTATAAGCATGGCTCATTCGGTTTTTGTATGCCGCAGACTTTATGGCAGCTGTCAACCTTACTTCCGGTAGGAAATCCAATTGCTGTCGAAGCAGCAAATCATTTTGACTTTCACAGAAGTGTTGTACTCGAAAAGAAGGTAAGCCCACTTCCGCCGGAACCACAGCCTCGGAGCCGAAATCGAGGTTAAAAGGAGATTCCCCTGTTGTTTCCCTTGTTGTCGTACGATTTGCCCATAAAATTTCAGGTATCAGATCTGCCCACAAGCCTTTTTCTTAACTGCCCCTAGTATCTGCTTGTTAGCGGCCTCAGCTTGGCCGTTTGACTGCGGGTGACATATCGCCGCATACGCAAACTTGACTTTGTATATGCTTAAAAAGTCTTTTACCGGGCTGCAATCAAATTGTGAACCGTGATCAAACACCATTGCTGTCGGCAATCCGAATCGCGTAAAGATGCTTTTCCAGATAAACTTCTTTACCTCACCCGCTGTAATCTTTGCTACCGGCTCTGCTTCTATCCATTTGGTGAAGTAGTCTATCCCCACAATCAAGAACTTACGGCCACCTGTTGCTGACGTAAACGGCCCAATAATGTCCATCCCCCACTGAGCAAATGGGATTGGGTTAAGAATGGGTGTTAGATCATTTGGAGGTTGGTTAATCACCGGCCCGTACTTCTGGCCTTTGTCAAATTTTTTCGCATATTCCATGGTATCCGCATTCATTGTCGGCCAATAGTAGCCCCGTTTCATTGCTTCTAAGGACATTAACCGACCCCCCGCATGATTACCGCAATCACCCTCATGTATTTCTTCTATCAGCCTTGCCGACTCATAAGCCGTTATACATCTTCGTAGCGGTAACGAAAACCCCCGCTTATACAACAAGCCTCGGAACATGATAAACCAGACACTGTCTTTCAGAACCTTTCTTGCCTCCGTCTTGTCGACAGGAAGAACATTATGTACCTTGTAAGCCAAGATATCATCATACCATTCTCGTCCCGCAGTCGTGCAACATACGTCTTTAGGAGGTTGTTCGTCAATACTTCTTTCTTTCAAAACCTCCACCATAACTGTCCTTTCTAAGTCATTGAAGCTTGAACTTGCGAGTTTAGCCAAGGCGTCTGCCTTGTGTTCATTGCCCGAGGAACCAACTTGATTTCCAAGTATTCTAGACCAGAAGTAACACTCTTGAGTTTTGCCAAATATGTCGTCATACTTGGCTCTCGAGTTTCGTAAGTGCCGTTAAACTGATTTGCCACTAATTGAGAGTCAGTTGTCATCTCAATGCGCTTTGCTTCCGCAGATATGCACAGCTGTATCCTTGCTAACGCTGCTTCATATTCTGCCTCATTGTTCGAGACTTTGAACTTGAACTTAACGGCATACTCGAACACATCTCCCTGGGGAGAGATCATAATTACCCCAACCCCTGAGTCGGTTGAAGCATATGAACCGTCAACTGATACCTTCCATGTGCCGGCATCATCCTCTTCTTCATAATATGATGTTTCGACAATGAAGTCAGACAAAGCCTGGGCTTTGATTAATACCCTTGTCTTATATGTAATAACATATTCAGATAATTCAATCGCCCATTTAAGCAAGCAGCCAGACGTTTCCATCTTTTGCAAAGATTTCTCTAACGGCTGATTCGTTAAGATATCAATTGCATGCGCATCAAAGTAAGGACGCAATTTTCGTGCAGCCACAACTACTGCATACGCGATCTTCTCTACTACCGGATACCTTCTCTCGGCAGCATTTAAAACGTGGCTCACGAAGTAAATTGGTAGTTGGATCTTTTGCCGCTCTACTAGGAGCACCGCTGCTACCGTCTTTGCTGAGGCCGAGATATAAAGCTGTAACGTTTCTCCTTGTTCCGGCCTTACGATGGTGGGTAAGGACCTCAAATGATTTTTCACAGCCTGGAACGCCTTAGATTGGTCCTTCCCCCATTCAAACATCTTGTTTTGTCGCAAAATTACAAAGAATGGTAGCGCTTTATCAGCTGACTTGCTGATGAATCTTGTTAACACAGCCATTCGACCGGTGAGCTTTTGTATATCTTTTATACACTTTGGTTCTGGCAAGCTAAGAATCGCCTCAATCTTATCAGGGTTAGCGTCTATACCCCTTTCGCTCACCATGAAACCGAGAAACTTTCCTGATCGGACACCGAACACACATTTCTCCGGGTTTAACTTCATCCGGTAGCGACGAAGGGTTTCAAAAGTTTCTCTCAAATCAGCGACGTGATCCGTAGCCAAACGGCTTTTCACAATTGAATCGTCCACGTACACTTCTACATTCCTTCCTTTCTGGTTCGCAAATACCTTGTCGACCAGTTTCTGATATGTGGCCCCTGCATTTCTCAATCCAAACGGCATAGCCCTGTAACAAAAAACTCCGGAATCGGTAATGAATGCCGCCTTGGTTCGATCCGGCTCATATAAACTGACCTGATGATACCCAGAGAAAGCGTCCATGAAGCTCAGTAGCGCGTGACCGAAAGTTGAATCTACCAATCTATCTATCCTCGGCAAAGGATAGCAATCTTTCGGACAGGCTCTGTTCAAGTCCGTAAAGTCCACGCACATTCTCCACTTCCCTGACGGCTTCTTTACCATGACCACATTCGCTAACCATTCGGGATATGTGCAGGGTTCGATAAAACCGGCCGCTAGCAATTTGTTCACCTCTGATTGAATAGCCTCCATTTTTTCTGTTGAAAAGTTCCTTTTTTTCTGTCGAACAGGTCTTGCTCTCCTGTCGACATTGAGCTTGTGCACTATGACGTCGGGATGTATCCCGAGCATCTCGTCCGCCGAGAAAGCGAATACGTCAGCACTTTCTCGCAACAATTCCACCAAATGGCAGCGCGTGTCGACATCCATATTGGATCCCACACGCACTACCCTACTGGGCACTCCGGGCTGCAACTCGATCTCGATAGTCTCGCCTCCCGGGGAAGGACGTGGAGCAGTTACCGGCCTAGTATCAAAATTTTCCATAGCCAAGTCATGCGTGGAAGGAATTCGTTCTCGCTTGGCTGGTGTCCGTTCACCAGCTGGCTGTCGGCCTGGTTGCTTCAGTGCCGATACATAACACTCCCTTGCCATAGTCTGACTACCCCGTACGCGCTCTGTTGTTCCCGCGTTGGATACATATACCATGGTTAAGTGGTACGTTGACACCACAGCTTGCACGTCATGAATTAAAGGCCTACCGACAATGGCGTTGTAAGCGGATGGCACATCAATCACCAAAAACTCTGCCATGACATCTCTTACTGCCGGACCCTCTCCCATTCGAACCTGAAGAACAATGCTACCTTCAGGTCGTACCGTCGATCCGTTGAAGCCTATCACGGGATAGGACACTGGCGTCAAGTATTTTCGGCCAATCCTCATGGCATCAAAAGCCCTAGAAAATAGAATATTTGCGGAACTTCCGCCGTCAACGAGTGTCCGTTTGATATCTTCTCCATTTACCGTCAGTATCAGCACCAACGGATCATCATGAGGGTAAACTATTCCCTTAGCATCCTCCTCCGTGAAAGATATCGAAAGCATGGAAGAAGGCCGAGGTCGTTCCTCTACGCTTAAAGCGTTCACTAGGTGCCGGTATTCCGACAAACTCTTCTTGGCCCCGCTTACGGAACCTCCGTATACCGGCCCTCCCGTGATAACGTCGATTGTTATTTTACGTCCTGTCGGATTACCTCCCTGTCTGAACGTTTCCGCATGATTCTTCCTGTAAGTATCATCTTGCATTGACTGTTCCCCCTGCTTTTGGTACTCGGTTTGCCTAGGCTGTGAATTTTGCTGTCGGCTGGGACCTGCCTGAGTACGATACTGGGATAATCGTCCCTTCCTTATAAGATCCTCAATGTTCTCTTTTAGCTGAACACATTCTTCGGTGTAATGACCAACATCTCTGTGAAACATGCAATACTTCTTCACGTCCCGACCCTTCTTTATCATCGGTGCCGGTCGACTCCAATCTTCTCTATTCTGGTTTATTGAATATATTGCCGCTCTTGGGGTGTTTAACTGCGTTTAACTACTGTAACGACCCAATCCCCTTGTCGGCCTTCTGGATCGTTGCTGGCCTTGCGGCAGCGCCCTGCTTACCCCACCCATCTGGGAATTCGAGCTATTATCACCTTGCCTTCTGGAGGGCTCTGCCAACGATATCTGACGGCTCGTTTTTAGCAGCTCCTCACTTTTTATGTATTCATGAGCTTTGGCAAATGCTACCCCTAAGTTTGGGAAACACTTTCGCGACATATATTTTTTGAAGTCGTTGTCACCTAGCCCATTCATCAATGCCATCACGGCAATCTCTTGTTGCAATTTCGGTATAGTGTTAGCTTCATTATTGAAGCGTCTAATGAAATCTCTGAGCGACTCATCCTTTCGTTGTTGAATAGCCATGAGCTCGCCAGATGTCCTTTGTCTCGCACTATTACTTATGTACTGACCTGTGAACAACTCCACCAGGGTCTCAAAGCAGTCAATTGATCCCGGCTCTAAGTTGGAGAACCAATCCGAGGCTGCGCCGGTAAGAGTCGTAGGGAAAACTTTACACCACACAGCATCGGTGTCTGTATACAGCAACATATGACTTTCAAACGCGGCCACATACCGCTTTGGATCCCCCTTACCGTCATACGTACAGGACGGCATCTTTATTTTCTCCATTTGCTGGTCGAGTACCTCTTGTGTGAACGGAGATATTCTGGGCCTGATGATTGCCCTGACTGCCCGCCTTTCCGGGCCACTAGAGATCTCATGCCGATAAGAACCTGAATCTCCCACCTGGGCGCCTTGTGTGAGTTGGCGCTCGGTTGGTGTGGTCTCTTGGCCACGGCTTCTTGACGGTTGTTGCTGTCCCTCCTGGTTGAACTGACTCTCCAAATTGACTATCAGCGGCTTTGTCGGTACCTTATCCCGTATTCCCCCTGCCGTTAACTCGGCTTCCTTTCTTTTCTTAGACATAGCCCGCATGACCTTGGCCGTTATCTCCAGCTCCTACGGGGTAAACCCCTCCAAGGGATCTGGGGTCACTGCTCTGCTACGGTCAGGTGTTATGGGCCTATTCATTGTGTTACCGTGAAGGAGATGAGTTTCATCTTCGACCATGATTTCTGGTACTATGGTTTTATTCGTGTTAGCATTAAGGACATTGTTATCGTATTGCCGGTTATCAACTTCTGGTACCGGTACTGAAGTTCCCTTACTTCCTTCCATGACTGTGAGATGTCCTGTTGGACGATAGAAGTTATTACTATACCCTCCTTCTAGCGCCAATTGTTCTTGCTTGATTCTACTTCCGTCAATGTCTAAGGGCTGGTAATGGTTTACCGTCCAATTGCTCACCTACACAGCCAATACAGATTAGCTAACCCGGGGGTTATCCGGAAATAACCACTCCGATGCTAAAGTTAGTACCTTTGTGAGAAGAAAGTGAAAGAAGAGAGAGAAAATGTTTTAGAGAGAGAGAGAGAGAGATTCTACCTCTGAAATGAGAATTTGTTTGGGTATTTACAGGAACGCAACCAAGCAGGTGCCACCTATACAGATAGGTGGCACACCAACCTTGGTACTAGCAGGTGCTTACGCGGCACTAAGCAGCCCTCCACGTGTCAGTGGGACATGCCACGTTCCGAGAAGCAGCTCTCCACGTGGTAGAGACTAATGCCGGTAAGGACATGAATTATTCAATAATTAACCATTTCTTTAAACTGCAAGGCACTCTTTTACCGGCATGTTATGATACTACTGGTATATCCCGTACAGAATCCTATATTATAGATACTTTATAATTATTTAGGTGTATAGCTAAAAGTCTAAAATAGTTTCACTCCGTCAAATTTAAGTAGAATCAATTGGCATAATATATATTTGAATGGAACACTATGATTACATGACACCATACTCATACTACCTCGAATTAGGCTGTGTCATGCCACAAATAGAATTAAAAAAAAAAATAATCAATCAAATGATTAACATTCACGCAAATAAAGAGGGTAAAAAAAAGGCAAAATGGGTAAAAAAAAAGGCAAAATGGGTAAAAAAAGGCAAAATGGGTAAAAAATAATCAATCAAATGATTAATATTCACGCAAATAATGTTGAAATTTATGACTCAACTACAAGTCTACTACATCATGTGACAGGAGTTACCGAGTTTTTTGTTAGAGGTTACTTGAGTTTTTCAGTTAGGGGTTCCTTGAGTTTTTCATTCAGGGGTTACACGAGTTATCTGGTTAGGATTTACTTAAGTTACTCGGTCAGACGTTACTTGAGGGGTTCGGACAGGGGTTCATTCGGTTAAAGATTACTCAATGAGGGGTTACTCGGTCAGGGGTTACTCGAGTTTCTCGGCAGACTGCATACAAAAAATTGTGACTCGATTAACTCCTGACCGAAAAAACTCGAGTAACCCCTGACCGAAAAACTCAAGTAACCCCTGACCGAGAAACTCAAGAAACCTCGGAAATTTAAGTAATCCCTGACCGAGAAAATCAAGTAACCCCGAAAACTCAAATAACCCCCGACCGAGAAACTCAAGTAACCCCTACCGTACGGTACAAGAGGCCGCATTAAAATTTGTGAAATTAAAATAACTCAATCATTTCCCTAGCTAATTGTTGCAATCATCATAACTTATAAGCAAATTAAATTTGTGGATAACATTAGTTATCTATAATAATTCATGTCCTACATATGTATCTCTAATGTAAGAATGTGTTATACACTTACTTTAGAGACTAATGAACATAAACACTCTCAATGAAGGAAAAAGTTCAATATAGGTAAGAATATGAGCGGAAAACACAAATTCTTTTCTTGAGGTGAGGAAAACGAGAACTCCTCATACAACAAAAATATATCGTCATTATATGCATGTGAGCCTCGTGTATGTGAGAAGAAAAAACAGATTGATCACTGGTTACGTATAGCATAATGATGTTTCTGTTTTCTTTTTTTGCCCTTTTCCTTCTCTGAAAATTCATACTTGTTCTATTAAAAAAAAAAAAAAATCATACTTGTTCTCTTCTTCAATAATGTATTCACTATGTTCACACTTTCTCTATTATTTAATTATTGTATTTCAATTAGCATAATTGACAAATAAATTGAGCGGAGATAACTCTATATTAAATCAAGCACAATAAAAACATACGAATTGAAGTAATTACCAATTTAGAAAGAAAAATTAAAAAAATTTAATCATTTCCTTAGCTAATTGTTGCAATCATCAATTCATCATAACTTATCTATACTTATATATTAAAAAGCGTTCCTAAAAATGTTTAAGTGTCACGTGACACTCTTGCCACGTCATCATATTCATATTTGAAAAATGTCTATCATGAGATTCGAACTCAGACTCGCAAAAATACGCATTAGATGACTTACCATATCATATACATAAAATAATCATGCTTTTATATTCGACTTATAAATATAGATATGGATTGGAGATCTGAACCTTAAGAACTACAATTCTTACAAAAAAAAAAATCAATTATATTATTATGATAATAATTATGTTTTTATTTTCATTACATTATAAATTTTATACAAAAAAATATGTTTATATAAATTGTCAATAGTTGTTCAATAAATAATTTATTCAAAGATTTAATGCAAAACTATTAAAAATAAATAAATAATGAATAAATAAATAATAAAGAATAAATATATCTATTCAATTACAAGTGTTCAAAGTAACAACCCGGAGCATCGCCTAGGCCACACACTAGTTAGCAAACTAATTTGGCGATAACCTTAATTATCTATAATAAAAATTCCTGTCCTATTTATGTATCTCTAATGTACTCCGTAAGAATGTGTTACACCCTTACACACTTAGGGCCTGTTCTGTTCCGTTGAAATTCAGTTCAGTTCAGTTCACTTCAGTTCAGTTCAGCTCAACTCTGCTCTTAATTTATGTCTAATGATATTGCTAATGATATAAAGCCAAATTTCATTCTTTTAAGCTCTTATTACAACGACAACATCAACAAAAACAGCAACAACATCAATAATAATAATAATAATAATATTATTATTATTATTATTATTATTATTATTATTATTATTATTAACAACAACAACAATAATAATAATAACAATAATAATTGAAATAATAATACTAATAATAATAATCAATAAATAATAATAATAATCATCAATAAATAATAATATTAATAATAAATTGTATATGTGTTTAAAATGTTTAGAGGTTTCAAGTTTTTAATATATTTTCCATACATTTTATAATATATTTTCCATACATTTTATAATTATAATTATATAGTATATTTTTCGTAAATATTTTAATATGTACATTTGTATATACACATATGTATAGTAATAAATAATCAATAAATAATCAAAGATCACTAATCCGTAGTTAAAAATCACTAATTAATAAGTTCAGTTCAGTTCAATTCAGCTGAGTTCAGTCAATCGGAACAGGCCCTTACTTTCCGGACTATTAAATATAAACACTCTTAATGAAGAAAAAAAAAATCATAAGGTGAGAGAATACCATGTATAAGTGGATTCTTGTCAAAAAGTAAAAAACAGTTTCACTGTTATGTATTGTATAATAATGATTCAGTTTTTTTTTTTTTTTTTCTTCTTCTTCTCCGAAAATTCATACATGTTCTATTCTTTAATTGTATATACAAGTGAAGACAACAGTCGTCAACCTTGAATCACTTGTAAATATTCTCTAGCATCTGACCATTGGACTACCTACGGAGATTCTGAATAATAATGCTAGCTTATTTGTTATATTCTTAAATTGATATGAGGCCCTATTAACTTTTGGGCCATGTGCAGTTGCTCACCCTGCACACCCTAAGGGCCGGACCTGTATATAGATTATATATACTCCATATAATCTCTCATTTTAATAGAAAGTATTTACAAATTACGAGTAATATCTAAGCAACATTTGCATAAGGCCACCTTATCTAGTATTTTTTTTTAAATATTAATTTTTTATTTTTAAATTTGGTAAGGAAAAGGGCTCTAATGGATCGGAACTTCTCACATATCCTCCCAATCGAATTAACGGACTAGGTACTTTAGGAGTGAAGGGGAGGGTAAGGAAATCCCACCCTAATTTAAAGTGCTTATTATGGGGATTAAACCCCCAACCTAAAGTGTTTATAGTGAAGATTAAACCCCCAACCTTAATATTAAAAGGTACAACCCATTTCAACAGGCCAAACTTAATTAGGTAACACCACTTTACCTAGTTACCATATAGTCATACGGAGTATACAATTACTTGTATAGTTGTATGAGTCACTCGGTCACTCCAAGTCTTCAACTACTTTTCTGCAAGTAATTAAAATGAGCATGTGACCATTCCAAATTCCCAATATCTTCTATGGGACAACCCATCTATAAGGTCTTATTCAAAATTTTGTCCAAAATTCTATTACCAACACTCTTCTAAAATCACACGCCTAACGTAAGTTAAAACTCCTCCAATTTTAAATATTTGTTCTAATTTTCATTTTTGGTTGTTTTTAAATACTTATTTCATTTTTTATTTGAAAAACTTTTCTAATATTTAATTCATTTCTCTCAACTAGTGTATCTAACATAAATAAATTTTATTAGTTATATATTTTTTCCTTCTATTCTCTCAACTAGTTTTGATTTTTTTTTTTTACAATTTTTTATTTTTCTACCAACCCTACTACCTCCATATTTTTAGGGCATGTTCTCATACGTTGAAATTCAGTTCAGTTCAGCTCCTAATTTCCTTCTCCTATAAAATATTCAGTTCAGTTCAGCTCATCTCAGTTCAGTTTAATTCAGCTCAGCTGATTTCAGTCAATGAGAACAGACCTTATTACTTTCTTCAATTTTTTCTAAAATACCACGCATATTAAAATAGAGCAAATATTTAAAATCGAAGAAAGTGTTCTATAAACATTATACTACCTCCGTTACAGGTTATGTGCAACGATTAGACATTTTCCTCTCTGCTTTATGTCATATCGTTGCACATAACAAGTAACGGAGGTAGTATTATGAGACGAATGGGAGTATAAAAGCAAACATAAGAAAAAGACCCTACAACTCCACAAGGCCACCACCCACATATCACAAGGCTAAAAATCTAAAAACCAAAGGAAGTATTGTTATGTTGATACTCGGCGCAATCCAACGGCCAAACCTTTAAAACAATGACACCAAACGCGTAGATAATAAGGCACGTGTCTCATATATTCTTTCCCTTACTTTTATCTGCCTTTCCTTTCTCAAATTCTCAGTATATAAACTCACACAACTTGACAAACACAGATAAAGGAATTCTTGCATTTTTCTAAGTTAAACGCCAACAGAATTATAATCCCAGAATTTTAGAATAAACTAGAAGCTTCATCTAACAATTTCAAAGAGAGGAGAGAGAAAATCAAATGTCGCCATCAATTGTAGAGTGTGCATCTGATGAAGTTGATCATCGACAACAACGTGAAGAGAGATATAATCAATGGCTGAATTCCTTTGTTGGTGATGATGATCGGACGGCTACTGAGTTGTCTCAGTTTATGTTCATTCCTGATCATCATACTTTTTTCAGTGCTGCCGTTCAGCTTAAAAACCAGGTAATTTTGGACAATTACTTGCACCATTTTTTAATTAATTAATAGTTAGCTGAATGAAATGGAGGTGTTGTTTTTAGCTTAAACTTTGTTAGTGAAAACGGATTAATTAGGGTTGTTCATCGGTCTAAAATTAAAATTAACAAATTCTGAGTAATTGAGAAAGTTAGATGGAATTACAGAAATTTTTGGATAATGTCATAATTTGTTAACATTTTGTCTAATTTCCCAAGGTTATAATGAGCATTTTAGGTAATTTTGGAATTCAGGTTTGCATTATTGATTGATTATCTTTTTTTTTGAAAGAATTATTGATTGATTATCTAGTCCTTCATTCATTAGTTTTGTTTTTTTTTTTTTTTAAATAATGTTGAAAGTGAAGTGTAACTGCTTCGTATATTTAAAATTGATTTTAAAAATTCAACGTGATTAATGAATTACGAATTGATCAAAGTGTGTTCACCTCTTCAACGTAACATTTTGGACTTGGTTAGCCCTGATTTTCTCCTTATATTTAAGCTTAATTGGACTCAATCATCAATAATTAAACATGACTTTAAATTGATATTTTTGAAGACACGAATAAATCACACCCTAAAAATTTTTGAGTTATACTTGTACTTCCTCCCTTTTATAGATAGAGTAACAAATTTCACAAAAATACAACGTTTATTTCCATTTAAGGCAATTTATTACGGAGTACAATATCTTATTTCACTCTTCAATTAAATACTCAAAATCTTTTTTTTATTGAATCTTTTTTTTTATTCATTTAATATATTGCCTAAAATGGTATTAATTCGGAAAAGCGTGACAAAATCACGTATTGATTGGAGTAAATAATGTTCATTTTAATTTAATCACTTTTAGCTAGCTTATCCAACGTCTCTTGTACGTTCGTTAGCTTTTGCCTCATTTTTATTATGAGTTTTAATCTTGTACTTGAAGTTACAAATTTTGGAACCAAAAAAAATTACATATTCCCTCCGTTTTTTTAAGCATTCAACTCACGATTTTATAACTTTGTGTCGATCAAACTAGTGCACTTAATAAAAGGCTGGCGTATTGAATCCTCCTCTATTGAGGATGTGTAAATGACAGAATGGTGTAACAAATCCTCACGCATAGGGTACCTTATAGTCCTGAGCTTCTGAGCCCAAGAGGCAAGAAAAGCATGTTTATCTGAAAAATATGATATTTTATTTTATTATCTAAAAGAAAACATAAGACAAAGAGGATATTAATTTAAAATTGGGTTTTACAAATTAAACAGGTTGTGGACGTGACGTGGAAGGACAAGGGGGGAGTGGAGAGCCAGGAATTAGATCCCACGGTATACACGGGGTTGATGGGGACAGCCTTCACTTGCTTCCGCTCATTCCAGGCCACCGGTTCTCAACAAGACTTGCTTTTATGTGCTGATATTGTGAGGGCGTGTGCCTCCATCGCTCATTCTTCAAGGTTTGCACTTTACGCGTATACTTTATTCTTTCTCTTAAAATTTTGTTTATCTAACGTTGTTAAATCCGGTTTACTCCACCTTAAAAACGAATTTTCCAGTAAAAAAAATTTAATCTAGTAAAAGTAATTTCAGTTCAATAAAAATTAGTAATTTTGAAGAAGAAAAATAGATAATTAATAAGAATAATTTTAGTTAAAATAATATCAATTCAGCAAAAAAAAAAAAAAAAAAAATTAGTTGAGCTAAAATATTTTCGATTCAGTAAAATTAATTTTAGTTCACTAAAAAATAATAAAGTCAACCAAATATAAGGTGAAGTAAACCAGGCTAACAACAAGTCAACAATAAATACGAGTAATCTCGTATGTGGAAATGGTGAGTCTTAAAGGAAAATTTATAAACTTCTTCAATTTTAAATTAATTAACTATGTATACATTTCATTTGATATGTTACAATAATTATGTTAATGTAGAATTTTTTAGGTGTTAACGTTTGCACATTAGAAAGTCCCTTTAAAATTAAAAGATATTCGATGGTGCCCAATTGCCCATCATGGATAATGAAAGTTACTAAGATATGTAAAAAGAATTATTAGATACTTTAATCTATGTAAAAGATTTGAAGTAACATACATTCCTACAGTCCTACTCGTTCGCTTTGTACTAATTTACTCACTATACACTTGTTAATGTTCTCATTTAAAAAATTTATAGTGTTATTTAAAAGATGATTTGATGGTCTATGTGTCATGAAAAACACAATTACAGGTTAAAAGTACTTTGGTCTAGGAAAATTAATTAAATTTTTATGAAAACTTTTAAAATCCCAAGAAAAGAAAGGCAAATGTAATTCATTCGAATAAAAAAAATATGGACTAGGAGTAGGAGTCTCGAAAAAGTGGACAACAAAAAACCGTATGAAGTATTAACTTCACACTTAGGTAAAAAGTTGAAAGAATTTTTGAAACTGGATCAGATAGTTGGATACTATAAACATTAGGCAAGTGATACATAGGCTATTAGGCTGTGTATAAGCATTACAAATTAACATATGAAGTGAAACAATTAATTAAAATTTTGATTAATATTTTCATTAGAACTCCTTCTATGCAGATCCAGGAGTTATGTATGTAATTTTCCTTTTCGACTGAATGTAAAGAATAAGCATTGGGATTTTGAGAAAATTTTTATGAGGAAAAAATTGTTGGGCATTTGTGAATTTTTAGACATTATTACACTCCCAAAGGTTGAAGTTAATTTTGGAACTCCTGCAAACTACAGTGCTACTTCTACTCCAATTATGAGTACAAGTATATAAAATATGAGTGGTAAATAACTTGGTTGTAAATACTTTGTATATGTGAACCCTTTCCTTTCGGTCCTCGAGACTTTAATCCATATACATAATATAAAAAATGCATCTCATGATTCAGTATATTTGTGGTCCCAGACTCCTAGCTAATATAAGCAACATCGCCAACATGAATAGAATTTTCTTCCCAACAGCGTTGATATTTATAGGGTATAGTTTATTTCCCATGTGAAAAACCGATGAATTATTTGAGTGTTGAACTTATTATTTCATTATTTGTACTCATAGGACTCTGCTTCAATTGCAATACTGACGTAGTGAACATGTACCATTATTATGTATGGGACATGGGTTGGACTACATAATAAGTGATGCTAATTTCCAAGCTTGTAATGATCCATCATTTTGGGATGGGTTATACATGCCTACATGAATAAGGAATGTCGAGGTAGGGTAGGGATCAAACCTTGTCTTTTGCGAACAAAAAATGTTACTCTGTTGATGTCTATATATTTTGTATTTTGAATTTGAAAAAAGAATATTAAAATAGTGCTCATAGCATTTTGCTAATATCAACCAATAATGTAGGATAGTACATGAAGTGAGATGGAGGATTTGGATTCATGTGAAATAATTATATTTACTCGTTTTGTTAGTTTTTCTAATCAGTCGGGATGAGATCATGAGGTCAAGTTCTTTCTTGACGGGAGCCGAGGGCTGAGGCAATGTGATATTGTGTATAGATTGTCTACCTCCTGATTTCAGGATTTGGGTTCTTGATGAAAGGGGTGAAGAGTTGACAGTTACCCAGCTAGGCTTGGGCTTGACACAATATTGGTGGAATGGTGGTCCATTTTGGGCCCTTGTCTTACTGGTCTCCATAATAAAGAAGAAAATAAAGTTCCTTCTCATAAATTTGCTGACATCAAGGACATGGATGTACTGTTAGGTTAATTTTGGTTGGCAATGAGGTCATTTGAGTTAATAAGGGTCGGTTAAGTTTGCCACCTTTATTATGCATGGTTAGTTACACTTACATAAATCAGTAGATGCGTCCCTTAGTTGGAAGCTGAACAATAGAATTACTATTATCGATGGATATTTCTTCGCCTTAGATTGCTGATAGAAGTGAAATAGACAGACCAATGAACTGTATGTGTGGCCTTGACAGTTGCATAGCCCTGATTAATAATAATGGTGTCCGACGGGCAACACACACACACATATTATAATTTCATATTTGCCAGTTATACTCGCTAACTTTCTTTAATGTAGATATTTGATATAGATAAAGATGTAAATTGATATCTTGACTGTGACTTACTATTGTTGTGCAGACTTGTAACATTTTTGAGTGGTAGAGGAGGAATTTATGCACTTGGTGCTGTCATCATGAACTATGTGGGGGACCATCAAAGCCGTGGCCATTTTCTTGACATGTTTATTGAGGTTTTAACTCTTGCTTAGCATGTTTCAAATTTCTATTGTTATCATCCTATTTATTTTGTCTTCATCAGTACCTTGTTGCCCACCGGAAAGATGTTTCCATCTCTTGTGTGGGAGATCAGAAATCATGCCTTGCTGGGAAGATCATCTATTTGAAAGGCATAGTAACTACTACTAGGGAAGAAGTCAAATGAAAAAGCTGCAAATTATGTGTACTTACTTCCTCATCAAGATACACCATAGTTGATGATTATGCATAATTTCTAACTTGATAGACTAAATTTCAAGTTGAAAGCACTATTCCCCTAATATAAGATATTACTTCATACTTCGTATTAACTAAATTGTCCTTGAATGCTTATATCACTTCTGATTTTTGACTAAAATATAAAATACGATATCTTGTAAAGTACAATTATTACATGTCTTTGTAGAAGTGGCAAGAAATAATTTGAAAGAAATAACAGCCTAATGGTAGGGCTTTTCGGTATGTAGTCCTTCTTAGCTGCTTGATCGGTCTATTATAGATTATGTTCTGATTGTGATTGTTGATTGGGTCTGTTTTCTCCTTGTTAGTTAAGTAACGATACATAAAACTTATGCCATATTATGACTTTCAGGTAGCACAAGAAAAAGCACTTCCGGTTGGACCTGAAGAAGGGGGTTTTGGAATGTCATATGACCTTCTGTGTGGAAGAGCAGGATTTTTGTGGGCAGCTTTGTTCATAAAAATGCACCTTGGTGAAGAAGCATTGCCAAATGATCTGCTGATGCCTGTTGTTGCAGCTATTTTAGCAGGGGGTAGAGCAGGAGCCTCTGATAATCCGTTGTGTCCTTTGATGTACAGATGGCACGGGACGAGATATTTCGGTGCCGCTCATGGCCTTGCAGGGATTTTGCATGTTTTGCTTCACTTCCCTCTCTCAGGAGATGATGCCGAGGATGTCAAGAAGACGCTGAGGTACATAATGAGTAAAAGATTCCCAATGAGTGGAAACTACCCATCAAGTGATGGGAACCCTAGGGATAACTTGGTCCAGTGGTCTCATGGTGCAACCAGCATGGTTATCACTTTGTGCAAGGCCTCACAGGTTTGTAGCTTTAGCATTTTTTTAGTTTGGCATCTAAGCTTTGTTCACCATGAGGCTGGTCGTGGGTGATAGCTTTGGCGTGTGCTTCGCCTTGCATCCCCATGATGGGTTTTAGATTTCTCATCCTACCCTAGTTTTTATTGGTAATTAGGACATGTAGATCTAAACACAGTATCCTGGTTACCATACTTACCGTACAATTTAAACACGTATTTGGTGTTTCATTAGCAGGCCTGTGTGTTCTAGGATGTTTGTATGATGGACATTGGTTTTGGTTACTGCATACAGGTTTTCCCCAATGAAAGAGAATTCCGTGATGGAGCCATAGAAGCAGGGGAAGTGGTCTGGAAGAGCGGTCTTGTGAAGAAGGTGGGACTTGATGATGGGGTGGCTGGAAATGCATATGCTTTCCTCTCCCTCTATAAGTTGACAGGAGAAGCCATATATGCAGAGCGAGCAAAGGCGTTTGGAAGCTTCTTGTATCACAAAGGAAGTCAGCTGGTAAATGCAATGAACTCTGGTGGGACGGATCATGCTTATTCTCTTTTCCTAGGACTTGCAGGAGCTGCGTGTTTCTTCTTTGATCTTCTTCATCCGGAAAAATCAAAGTTCCCAGGCTATGAACTTTGAAACTGTAAGATATGCTTTTAGTAGTAGAATATAAGTGTTGTATTTGAGTATTAGCACCTGAGTAAAGCCGTGCACTGCTCTGAATTCGTCCGAAAACAAAGACAAGACATAATAGGGAAGTATGAGTACCTGTGTATGTTGGTTTAGTATTTCAAGGAATATTCGAACCTCAGTTTCGCCTAAAGTTCTTAATAGGAAAGGATTCGAATGGGTAAGAGATGTTATAATACTCCATATTCCGGGAAAGAGGTGAATTTTCTTTCTGTAATGTGATTATATGTACAAAAATATGGTGATCATAGCTCATAATTTTTAGGAGGTGCAATCTTCAATGTTTGTAACTAGATTTGATCAATGGGCAGGCTGAGTTCGGGCGTGGCCGAGGCATAAAATATCTGCCCATTTTTTGGCTGGGCCTAGCTTCGGGCAAATTTTTCATGCCCAAACCCGCCTAAAATGGCAGGGCCGTTTAGGTTTTTCAGGCCGGCCAAAAAATGAACTAAAATGGCGTAAAAATGCATTCTCAAGCCCGCTCAAAAATTAAAAAGTTTGGGCTGAAAATTGGTGCCTAAAATCGGGCCGGGTTAGTTTTGATCAGCTCTATTTGTAACCAGCCCAGTTTAAACACTCCTTAGTCTTCGAGTTTCCAACAATTTCTACTTCTAATTTCATTTTTTACCTGAACCAAAATCTCATATTATACATGAACCAAACAAGTAATAAATCGTTTAGTAGGTAATGAACATGTTAAGATGATAGATTAAGATTTTGTGTTTGTCCAGGTGGCGTAATGATACCAAACTTTTATAATTTTCTGCTCAAAAGCAAAATAGTTTGAGATCATATTGGAATAAACGGAATACAAAGTACTAGTATATTATTACCAATATACTCATAATTTCTTGTGATAGTACTGAAATACTCAACTACAGTGCCTAACCATAGGCTATCTTATGACGTATTTTAAATATATAGACAGGTTATTATATGGTATCTCCGCAAAATTTCTTCATTTAACTGTTTAAATTTGAGCCGCCAAATTACTAGACTAATAGCTACCATTTCAACCAAACTACATCTAATTAAGAATAATTTCATGTGAACATTGAGAAATACATGTGCTCCATACCAAACCTATAAAATTAATTAAATTTCATTTCAAGTAGCATATCTACCAAAGCTACGTCACAAAGTCAACAGGCTAAGCTAAAGATCTGTAGCTAAACAACATTTGCCAACCTTCCACAAAATTAGACACCCAATCTAATATGGCATTAACCAGCAAAGCGTTGGCTCACGTGATAAGCTTCTTATCTCAAATCCTAGAGATTTGGTGTTCATATCCTGCCGAGTGAGGATGCTTGAGGGTAAGGATTCCCTTACTCTTCTTTCTAATCTCAAGAGTTTGTCCTATAAATACTAAACCAAAAACTATGATGGTTGAACTTTGATCAAGATCTTCCTTACTACAGAGTATGACATTAGCCCACAAGTATTGTGAGGCTCAACATACCTTGGGCGGTTGGGTTGACTAGTTGTGTACCTGTGACTAGGGGTGTGCAAAAAAAGATCAAGACAGAAAACCGGGCAAGATCGGACCGTTGAATTTCGGTTTGGTTTTTGGTCCTCACATTGTGTTGATTCCAGGTTTTCGGTCTGGTCCAGGTAAAATACAAAATATTCCGGTTCGGACCGGAAAATGTTTTTTCTTATTATTATTATTTAGGTGAAAATTTTATGTTTTATGTTTAAATTTGTCAAGAATTTAGGTATAATACTTGTAATTTGTAAAGTTTAGTGCAAAATAAGAAAGCACGCAAACAAAAACAAGATGTTAAAAGATGATGTATATATAAAAATATTAAAATGCAAAAAAAAAAAAAAAAAAAAAAAAAGAAGAGTATAACTGGTCTATTCTAGTCCAAAACCGGACCACATCGGAATAAAAAAGTCTAGACCAGAATCCGGACCGGTTGATTACAGTCCGGTCCCAATCATTAAAAAATGGTGAATCTGGATTCCGGTTTTGGACTAGTGTACAACCCTACCTATGAAGTTTGTAATGGGTATTCATGGGTCCTTGGCACAGCCTTTGGCTAGCTAGTGTGGGTCCCTAATATTCGACCGTTCCAAAAAAAGGGTCAACATGCTAACATTGTGAATGAAACACCCACTTGCCACAAATTCGTCAACATTATATTGTAGCCGCACCGTACACCTACTTGCTAGAATGTGACGTATAGAATTTGGTTTTGGTGGCCACCTTCCATTATCCTCGTCTTTTTTGTAAATACATGAATTTTAGATATCAAACTTTATTTTCAGCAACTATCCAATTTGCAATTCTAATCAGTAATCACATGAGTAAATGGTTTGATAACAAACACTCACATGATCGTTATCCCATAATTACCAAAAATAATTAAACAATGAATAAAAACAAGTAAAATAATATTTACTACTATGTAGCTAGTAAACATTAATGGTAGTAAAACATATAAAGAATGGCAAATTGCATATGCCAAGTAAAGTGATGTACAAGTGCGTACAAGTGTATCCATATTCTCCCTTAGTCACTTATAAGGTTTTTTTTTTTAATGAACATCTATAAAAGATTGCTTTAGTTTCTCTTGATTAAGTACCAATAATTAATCAACAAGGAAGGAAAATTATGGAAGTAGTTTGTATGAATTAAATCATAAATCTTCATTTTATATTTTTATCTACCTACTTGGTCTGTACACACAATGAATGTCATTAATGTTGTACTGAATGTACTTTAATCTCTATACTTGGTTACACTCTCATTCTAACACAAATTAGTGATGAAGAATTTAAATTTATTTTAGGCTTAATTCCCAAAATAACTTTGAGTTTTAGTATAATGTGGAATTTTTTGAAATAGAATATTAAGGTCTCCTTGTAATTTGGAGTAATATTTTAGCTTAAATTGATCGTTATTGATGTGGACGGAAAGGTAACAATTAATTGTGGTTTGATAATTTATACTTCGTAATTTCTTTGCCTCATTAATAGCAAAGATTAGCGTATCTTCTCTTCTTTCCCTCTCTAGTTTTCTCTCTTGTCATTGAAGAACCTAGGGACTTTATATTGCCAAGTATCCCGTATTTAGTTGCTTTTGGGATGTTTGTTTGCAATAAATTCAAGAGATTAACGATTAACAATTAACGTCTTCATTACTCATGTCCATTGTCCAACATTATATCCTTCCTTTTCGTTTTTCTCACATTAATTTCAACACTTCTAATTCAAAAAAAACTCGAGTATTTTCCTTATATACACTCCTCTCACCTATCTATCTCACGTTTAAAAAAAGAGGTGCGACAAGTAAATTGAGACGGAAGGAAATATAATAATCGAGGCACGAGAATCAAGAAAAAATGTGCAATCCACAACCGGTATACAAGGACGAGAAGTCACAATCAACAATAAACACAAAAGCGTAGCAAGATTAGCAACTTGTCACCTACTAGTCAATCAACTACACCCTTCAATCATACCAAATAACTGTTTTTAACTTAATCTTACACAACCGCGAGTACACGCCACCTCTACACTTTGGTGCGTAAGATGGGCGGCAATACACTTTGTCACCTTCACCTCTCCTCTCTCTCTCCGCCACGTGTCATACTATTCTATAAACATTCTTTCATCGCCTTTTTTTTCTCAATTTTACAAAACTACCCCTGTTGAAAATATACTACTTGTATAATGTTATGTTAAGGAGACAGCTCAACAATATTTAGATATATCATATAAAGACTTTACTATAAACTTCGTTTGGTTTGGTGTTCATTATTTCAAGTTTGATCATTTCAAATAAATATAAAAATTTCAACGGTTCAACCATTATCATCTTCCCCTTATTGTATATCTTCTTTCTTTCCTGTATTATTATTATTGTTTTAGTTTTGGTCAAAACATATCGAGTCGCCTTATACTTTTTAAGGTGTAATCGATAAAAACTCGTGTTTTTTGTTATTGTAGCGATTATTTTTGGATTAATAATGGAGAGGTACGAAAATATGAAAAATATTGGGTCTGGAAATTTTGGAGTTGCTAAGCTTGTCAAAGATAAATGGACTGGAGAGCTCTTTGCTGTCAAATATATTGAGAGAGGACAAAAGGTCCCTTATTATCTTTTGTCTTTTTTCTCCTTATTTTGTCTTTGATTTCCATCTTTACCATACTATAATTTTGGCGGAACTTGATTTGCATTAATAATCTCCTGCTAAATTCGACTTTAAAAAGTTGAATTAACAATTATTGATAAAAATATTTTTTTTATTTATTTAATTTTGGTTGTGTATCTTGTTAGATTGATGAGCATGTTCAAAGGGAGATCATGAACCATAGATCGGTGAAACATCCTAACATTATTAGATTCAAAGAGGTAAGAAACCTAAAACACTTTATATTTCTGTACTTTTTAATGATTTTAGTTAATAATCGCGCTATAATACTTTATGTTCTATGTTTATCCATGTTCTTCACATGCATTTTTGTAAGAAAAAACACTAAAAATGGAGAGTTTAATAGTTAAACAGTTTGCACACGTGAACTCAAAACCGTAATTACATGTATATAACTAGGCCAACGTTTGATCCTTAAGTATTAATTAATGTGTAATAAGCTGTTTTAGTAGAAGTTTGGTACGTAATTAGTGAATTTTTAATTATGGAATCATATCATGATTAAGGAAATTTCAGAGTATTTACGCAATACATTATTCGAGCAGGTGTTCCTTACTCCTACGCATTTGGCAATAGTAATGGAATATGCTGCTGGAGGAGAGCTGTTTGAAAGAATTTGTACTGCTGGAAGATTCAGTGAAGATGAGGTTTGTATCTTTTTTATGCTATGCTGTTCTTACAGAAAACGCAACTAATTGTTCGGGTTTTAATGTTTTATCTATCTCCGGTTTAGTTTAGTTGTTATGTTATACAGAGTATAATAATGGTTCAAGTATATATGTATCAGTATGTTTCAATGTGACAATTAATTCTAGACGGAACGAGTAAATGAAGTCGTAATTTTTATTTTTAACCAAGGTGGTTTTTGAACAGGCAAGGTCTGTTAATCTGAGCTTTGGGAGTTTTCTTTGATGTTTTCAGGCAAGGTATTATTTCCAACAACTAGTATCAGGAGTCAATTACTGCCACTCCATGGTATATATGCTAATTAATTAATTATATATGGAGTACATTTCATTATATTTATTCTCTGATATTAAAATTTTGTCCTGTTATTAAAACTTAATTTCACATATACAAGGCTAATAATAATACAAGTTTTTTTCTGAATGCAGCAAATTTGTCATAGAGATCTTAAGCTTGAAAACACCCTCTTAGATGGCAGTTCAGAATCGCGTCTCAAAATCTGTGACTTTGGCTACTCTAAGGCAGGGAAACTCATCTGAATCTATCATTTTGTTTATATTCAATCATCAATGATGACTAATTTTTGTTAATTATAACAGTCTGCAGTGCTACATTCTCAACCAAAATCGACGGTAGGAACACCGGCCTATATCGCCCCAGAAGTCCTGTCTCGAAAGGAATATGATGGAAAGGTAGTGTAACAACTAGTGAATGTAGATACATACTACATAAAAATACTATATGCTTTTAATTTTTAGCCTAAATTTTATTAGTCCATTCATATTTTAATGTGATAAGTATGTAATTCATTAAGAATTACAGATTGCAGATGTTTGGTCTTGTGGAGTCACTCTTTATGTCATGCTAGTTGGTGCTTATCCCTTTGAAGATGCTGATGATCCTAGAAATTTCAAAACTACTATTGCAGTATGTATTAAATTCTTAATTTAATTTACTTTGGTGTTTGTAGAATATATGTGTTTGATTGATATTTCTAGTAATTAATAGTATCTGATTTCGATCTTATGGGTGTTGTGTTGTGGCAGAGGATTCTGAGTGTACATTACTCCATCCCTGATTATGTTCGCATCTCCAATGATTGTAACCATCTCCTCTCTCGAATATTCGTAGCCAACCCTGAAAAGGTATGGTAACATAATATTGAGAAAATACAAGTTCATCTTCATGATAAACAGAAAAATGTTTATCTAGTGGCATTTTCGTAAATAAATCAAAAACTTTTGTCAAATGTGGACCCTAGTAAGATTGATTTATTTACAGAAACGCCATGATGACTGAGATCTTATATTGATTTATTTACGGAATTGCCACTAGATTAACATTTGTTCATCATGAATATGAACGGGGGCTCCCTCCATAATATTGTACATTATCGTGATATGGTAAGTAATAGTGATGGTTTATGATTAGATTTCCTGATATTTACGTTACTGATATTATTTATGTAGAGGATAACGATGGAGGAAATAAAGAAGCACCCGTGGTTTGTAAAGAATTTGCCTGCGGAGTACAAGGATGGTGGGCTAGATGACACATTCAATACGACGGAAACAGACGTAACATCCCAAGATGAAGAGGAAATATTAGCCATAATTCAGGAAGCAAGGAAGCCGGGAACAGTACAAGGGTCCAACCTCTTTGGTGAAGGTCTGCTATTAGGCGGCAGCTTAGATTTCGACGACAGCGAGCTTGATGCTGACCTTGATGATTTGGAAATGAGCTGTGAAGATTTTGTATGTGCTCTATGATATATACAAAGTATATATGATCATGTACTAATTAATAATATATGGTTTGCTAATCAAGTAATTCCTTTGATAAGTTTGATGGGAATTCAAACTAATGTTAGCAATAATTAGCAGTTAATTAATTAATTATGCAAGTGTGTATGCTTTGCTTTTGTAAATGCCTTGATGTTGTGCCTTCATCAGTTGGTGAGGCTGTAACCACTAAAATTTGGTACAATTGATATTAAAAGAAGAAGAAAAAAATGTATGCTTTTGTCGGATGATAATCATATGAATTACATTTGGTTGAAGTGGGAGAATAAATGGGTTGTGTATAAGCATGAGCATGACCAAGAAAATGTTAAAACAACAACTTGCAAAGATATTGTGTGAAGGTCCCCGGCCTTTTGATGGACTTGCTATGCAATTTGGTACTCCTTCCTCTCCCTACCAACGTCAAAATAATATTAAGAGAATCATACAAAACTATATAGAAATACGTCTTTGTTTATATCAATATTTCATGGTTGATTATAAGAATTAAGATCAATATACACAATTTTTTATATGTGGGTGCATGGTGTGATTGGGGTTACTCGGTCGGTCAAGTGTTACTCGATCAGGGCCGGTTACTTAGTCAATTAGAGATTACTCGATCGATCTTAGGGGTTACCTTGTCAGTATTTTGAAGTGTGTTATTAGCTTACCACACCAAAAAAGTGCTGACACGTATATATATAATAGCGAAAAGCTTGACATGGGTCAAACCAGCCAAAACTTAAAAAAATAGAGATGGAAGCAATTTGATCGAACGATTAAGGTCTCAACTAATTTCAAGTAAAAAACCATCACTAAAACTAAAACAAGTACTACTTGATGAGTTCATGTGGTGTATATATCCATTAAGTCTGTCAACGGCTACTCTTATTTTTTGAGGCTACTCTTGAGACTTAATAAGTAATAATCCTAATAATTAACATAGCATTATACTATTGAAAATTAATTTGTACGTGGTCTTTATCTTTCAACGTCGATCCGATCATCATCTTCATTTCAACAATACAATGTATATTTTTAACGTTATTGGGTCCTCTAACAATACATGCAGTGAGCCAGTGACCAATAGATAATCAATACATCTTATTAAGATAAGACTATTAATAAGTTTGGTTCAAAAATCATTATCAATCACTAAATCCAATTTAAGTTGTGTCGAGTTATGTATGGTAGATTTTTCTTATATACGTAGGTTAAATTTATGTGGATGTAAATATATATTTGTCCTAATCTAAATCACACTTTTTTTTAATATTGACAAACAATATTTGTTAAAGTTGACGATAAACTTTTCAAAAAAATAAAAAATTGTTATAGAAGTAATTTTTAAGCTAATTGTATTTTTTTTAAAAAAAAGTGATCTGCAACTCATACGGTATATCGTTCATTAATTTGTGGAAAGAGTGATTAGCAAATAAATTAGAAAAACATACAAAAGGTGACCAACAAGATACAACATGGGGGTAGATAGTATTCACTTTAGCTGAATTTTGCCTATTCTTATAGTATCTTATCCAAATTTATTATACCTTACCTTATCTTATTTCAACTCATTAGCATATAAATCTTATCTGAATTAATTCATAGAAACAAGTGAAAATAAGATGAATGTTACATAGCTTTAGTACGTGTATGTTCACATTTACTGAACTAAGCTGAACTGAATTGGTTGAAGCTGAACTGAACTGAACTAAACTGAAATGAATATTTTATGAGAGAGAGAAATTATGAGCTGAACTGAACTGATTGGAGCTGAACTAACTAAAGTGAACTGATTGGAGCTGAAATGAAATAAACTGAACTGAACTGAAATTAAGTTGAAATGAACAGATCCTTAAATTATAGTTGTAGCTCAATTTACCATTGTATAAATTATATCTGATGTATGTATTATAACTTTATAAGTGACCTTCCAAATTAGGTAGAGAACCCTAATTATAGCCGTTGTTTTTCATACGAACTACTCCATATATATTTTATTAAAAACATAGTATTAAAAGATTTATAATATAAACGAGTACCTTGATAAGTTGTGGAGCCAATTAGATAATGAGATCGAGTTGGAACTCCACTAGATTAATATAACAATCAACTTGTATTTCATACAAATGTGCATTATAAAGTTGCAACTTGACTTATTTATAACCATTACCTTTTGATATCAAATTAAAGTCTAAAAAGTTCTCAAATCTCAACCGTCACCCAAAAATTCTTTGAATTTGAAGGTGGATAATGTTGTAATTCCACATAAATTAATGATCAATCGTCATTCTTTCTTATTTTGTCATATATCATTGGACGTTTCTAATTTGTTGCGTCACTTTAGAATAACAATTTAATTAAGTTGTGTTAGTTAATCCTCATCTTCTTAATTAATCAAGTTAATTATGATTAGTGGTCATGTCTTAGCTTGGACTCTCATACTTGGATTTTGTATCCAATATGTTTCTCTTATTGGCTAAATACATGCCTCAATGAGGTTTTTTGTAGTGATGAAATTACTATATTAGAACTTGTCATATCGCATGACATCAAAAGATTTATACTAATAGTATGAACGAATAATGAATTTGTTGATTGAAAAGATGGTACGTGATATATTATAGTCAATGTAGTTGTTAACATAATTAATGCTCGTCTTTGCTAAATTATAATTAATGTGTCTTGATGTATCATTTGGGAAGGTGATAATCGGCTTTTGTTTTTGTATCTATATAGACAAAACTTGTCAAAGTAGAATAAGTTTCTAAGTAAGGTGATAATTGGGTGTTTGAAAAGACAAGGACAAGCATAAGGAAATTGATAAGGTCACCTCTCTAAGTAAGTAACAATGAAAGTCGTTCGTACCAATAGATTTATTGTGTCAAAACCATTTTCCCACGTCTAGTCATATCAATTTTTTTTATAAGGCTCGTGTGAGACTATGAGCTTAAAATTACCATTAATTTTTTTGCCTTTACACGCAAAAGTTAGGGGTTCGTTTGACATTGTTGTGGCATTCTGTTTTTAGGTGTTTTTTTTTTTTTAATTTACAAAATCATATGATAGATGTTATTCCCTCCGTTTTTAAATACTTGCTCCATTTCTCCATGCGCGGAGTTTTAGGAGAAATTGGAGAAAATAATAAAATATGGAGGTAGTGGGGTAGTTGAGAAAATAAAAAATTGTAAAAAACAAAAGTATTGGAAGAATAGGAGGAGAGAGAGTATTATGTTTGGTCCACTAAGTGTGAGAAATGAATTAAATATTGTAAAAGCTTTCCAAAAAAGGAAATGGAGCAAGTATTTAAAAACGGAGGGAGTATATAATAAATTAAAAAAAAAAGACAAATTTATTAAAATCATGATAATTTTGAAAACTGACAACAAAAAAGTAAAAACATATTTTTCTTATTTTTTGTTTTTGCCTTAAGTTACTTAATTACTTTGATTTCCTGATGAGATTGAATGACACTTCTTTTGGCAAGAATAGAGAAGATTTCACCATTTCACTCACTACAACTCTACGAGTACTTAGGGCTCGTTCTCATTGACTAAACTCAGCTAAACTGAAGTGAACTGAGCTGAAGTGAACTGAACTGAATTTTAACGTAAGAGAACAGACCTTACTATCTATTTAATTTATCCACCCCTCTCAATTACTCCATAAAAAAATGTTATTTTGTGTTTTAAAATAGTGAAATTCAAGTTAAGAAAACATGGGTTTCAGACAAGTTTTACATTTTTAAGAAAACAACAACAGTGTATTATTCATAAGAAAAATCATGAATTGACAAAATTCAAGACAGAAAAAAAAAATGAGTTTTGAGGTTGTGGATAGATATTTTGATGTCAATGGGGAATTGAAGCCTTTAGCACAAAGGTTAAAAAAATAAACAACCTATTTAATTTGCATGATAAAATTTGATTCCACAAAACCAACGATTAAGAATCAAGTGTATGTAATATTTTTTTTTTTTGAAAAAGTGTACGTAATATTAAGATAAGTGTAAATAGGATGAAAAATAAAATTAATTACTTGGAAATTTGGTCCTTGTGCAAACAAAAATAACAAAAATAGGAAAAAAAAAAAAAATTCCGTTAAAAAAATAAACAACCTATTTAATTTGCATGATAAAATTTGATTCCACAAAACCAACGATTAAGAATCAAGTGTATGTAATATTTTTTTTTTTTGAAAAAGTGTACGTAATATTAAGATAGGTGTAAATAGGATGAAAAATAAAATTAATTACTTGGAAATTTGGTCCTTGTGCAAACAAAAATAACAAAAATAGGAAAAAAAAAATTCCGTTAAAAAAATAAACAACCTATTTAATTTGCATGATAAAATTTGATTCCACAAAACCAACGATTAAGAATCAAGTGTATGTAATATTTTTTTTTTTTGAAAAAGTGTACGTAATATTAAGATAAGTGTAAATAGGATGAAAAATAAAATTAATTACTTGGAAATTTGGTCCTTGTGCAAACAAAAATAACAAAAATAGGAAAAAAAAAAAAATTCCGTTAAAAAAATAAACAACCTATTTAATTTGCATGATAAAATTTGATTCCACAAAACCAACGATTAAGAATCAAGTGTATGTAATATTTTTTTTTTTTGAAAAAGTGTACGTAATATTAAGATAAGTGTAAATAGGATGAAAAATAAAATTAATTACTTGGAAATTTGGTCCTTGTGCAAACAAAAATAACAAAAATAGGAAAAAAAAAATTCCGTTAAAAAAATAAACAACCTATTTAATTTGCATGATAAAATTTGATTCCACAAAACCAACGATTAAGAATCAAGTGTATGTAATATTTTTTTTTTTTGAAAAAGTGTACGTAATATTAAGATAAGTGTAAATAGGATGAAAAATAAAATTAATTACTTGGAAATTTGGTCCTTGTGCAAACAAAAATAACAAAAATAGGAAAAAAAAAAAAATTCCGTTAAAAAAATAAACAACCTATTTAATTTGCATGATAAAATTTGATTCCACAAAACCAACGATTAAGAATCAAGTGTATGTAATATTTTTTTTTTTTTGAAAAAGTGTACGTAATATTAAGATAAGTGTAAATAGGATGAAAAATAAAATTAATTACTTGGAAATTTGGTCCTTGTGCAAACAAAAATAACAAAAATAGGAAAAAAAAAAAAAAAAATTCCGTTGCCGGGACTTGAACCCGGGTCTCTCGGGTGAGAGCCGAGTATCCTGACCAACTAGACTACAACGGATTATTGATACATAATTTTGTTATTTTAAATTTAATATATATCGAAAATTCGCATAATTGTAAGTACAGTTTTTCTTTTTGTTATGCTTACAGATATTTTGGGTGTTTGGACGTTGACTTTGTAGGATTTATCTTTTGTATTTGAAAATTGTGATTAAAAATTTGGAATGCATTTTGTGCAACTGAGTGGTTTGTACTGTGTGAAATACTGTAGTGATTAAAAATTGTGGTTTGTTTCAATATTATTGGGGTTGATTTTTGCAAATCTTTATTAATGTCATCGATTGGACTGTTGTCGTATGGTAGACGTTTTTCTTTTTTTTTTCTTTTTTTTTTTTAATTTTTGACAAGGACGTTTTTCTTTCAATATACGGAGAAATTAGTTTTTACGAAGCAATTTGTCAAAATCTTCACTAGCTTAGTGTAGCATTTCTTTTTTATTAGGCCATTGAAAATAATAAGTACGAGGATTAGTTTTGTAAAATGAGAGAATTGACTAGAATGACGTTAAAAATTGTATTGCTTGTATATAAGGTGGTGGAGGACTGGTGGTTCTTGTGTAATTGACTGATTGGTTTATAGTGTTTGAATTATGCAACTTGTTCTTGTTAGAGGAAATAATGCTTTTGACTATGTTTGTGCCATATTAATGTAATGGTTTAGCATGTTTTGATGTACTATTTTAATCATTTTTTTTTTTTTTTTTTTTTAAATAAAATAAAATAAGTCAATAGGATTTGAGTAATGGTACATAAACAAAGTGGTTGATTGTGATAGTTGGATTGACTCATAATGTGAGGGTGGTGATATAGGAGGTTCATGGATGGCCTACCTCATCTATATATTGTTCAAGTGATTGCCAACTATATCCAATTTGTTGCAAGTCCTGTTGAATGAATGGTTTAAAAGGTGTTATGTGGTGTTTTGTCACGACTAAATTAAAGAAGTAATCGTTAGTTAACTATTTAAGAGCGAGGAGATTTTTGTTAACTATGGATTATAACCTACATTAGTTATTGACCTTAGATTCTATTATTGAAACGACTTCAACGTTTTAACTTAAAACAAAATTAAACTAACCAATTGGTTGTTTGTGTAGTATTGATTGGGATTACACTTGGTAGGAAGGACCCGTATTCGATCCCCCCAACAACAATTTGGAGGGAAGTGGAACCTAACCATCCGAAACTGATCCTCGAATCTAAATTAGCCCAAGAGGGTGAATCGGGTGAAACACCGAAAAAAAAAAACTTACTTAAACTAATGTGGATTAAAAATTGGCACTCATATTTAAATTTAAATTTATAAATCTTAAAAGCCAAATTAGAGCAAAATGGATTCCTCTCATAAAACATGACTTATGAGTTATAAACATGTTCTACCTCATTTACCTTTAAAAAAGTGATTTTATCGCATTATCCTTTGTATATTTGCCTTATTTTCTTGTTTTTTTAGCTTTCTCTTTCTCTGTCCTTCTCGCCTCTCAATCTTGATTTTTCTCAAATATGAAAAACACAAGTGTTGTATCTTATAATTCACATCAGATTTTAGTAATAATTTTTTTTAGGAAATTTTGATTTTTACCACCTTTAAATAACAACTTCATTGAATTTACCACCTCAAAACAAAATAAAAAGATTTACTTTACCACCTCATAAAAAAATAAAACATTAGTTTTAACACCTAAGCCAAACTTCGGTATCGGAAACCGCCAGTGGGGCCCAACATAACAGCTAGTTTTTGAAATTATCCCCAAATTCTCTCGATTTCCCTTCTATTTAAACCAACCTTCTTCATTTCTACATCAAATTGTTGAATATTGAAGTTTTTTTGCGATTTTCTTCACTAATCCTTAATTTGGGTAGTAAATGAGCCAAAGTTCATCTTATAAAGTTATAATTTGCTTATAGCTTGGTTTTTGGTCTGATTTGTATCCTTAATGGCTTAAGGATTGCAAACAAAAACGTGCTGAGCAACAACAATTACTAGTACCTAAGCTGCTTCAATTTCTGTTTCCTAAACCTGAACGTTATATGACAGAGGTTTCAGAATACAAACGGTGACGAAGAATATATCTGACTTCTGGAAAAAATTTGTACTCGTAATTCAGATGTAGTATTGTCATTTCTGCTGCCATTTTTTCATTGAAACTAATTGTATTTGAACACAATTACCATAATCTAACCCTAATTTTACTGCCCAATTGTAATAAAAAAAACCCCAAATTAATTTACACTTACATGACCCTAATTATTTACAATATGAAATTGAGGTTGAATTAATAACAGAAAACATGCAATTTCAATTATACTTAGCAATTGCAATATAATCACGCAAACAATTGCAAAAAATTACAACAGAATTCATGAAAATTGCTTACCTTTTCGCTATTTGTCGTCAAATAGTTCAATTGATTCAGAGCCGAGTACAATCTTCAATAATTTGTTAATTTGAGGATGTGTGATTGTTAAGGATCACACAAAATCAGAATTTGAAAAGAAAATGGCAAAAAAAAACTTCAATGTTCACGAAATATATGTATAAATGAAGAAGTTAGGTTTAAATCAAAGGGAAATCGAGAGAATTTGAGGATAATTTCAAAAACTAGCAGTTATTGTGGGCCCCACTGGCGGTTTCCGTCACCGGAGTTAGGCTTAGGTGGTAAAACTGATGTTTTATTTTTTTTATGAGGTGGTAAAGTAAATCTTTTTTTTTTTTTTTTGAGGTGATAAATTCAATAAATTCGTTATTTGAAGGTGGTAAAAATCAAAATTTCTTTTTTTTTAATTATTATTAAAAACTAGTGTGAATATACCTTATACGCTATACATATATATAGAAGTTAAAATCAAGAAATAATAGAATTTTCAAAGGAAATGAATATTTTGAGAAAAGTTTCAAAACTTTTAATTCAACATAAACTCTTAGATATGCCTAGCATAGGCCCAACTAACATAACTGGCTAGTTAGCCGAATCTCATACCCAATCAAATAATGTTAGTGGTGCTTTTAAATTTTTAATTTGTCACTCATCACTTGTAATATAATATACACAATTAAAATAATTTTTTTATGCCACACGTTTAAAATAACTGGTTCTACTTATACTTTTTATAAATAAAGTTTTATATAATTATATATAATTTCATAGGTTTTGGTATTAATTTCATATGTGATTTTGCATAAATTTGTTGATTATCAAAATATATTACACCTTTAAATAAGTTTAGGCGTATTTTATGCTCTTTCTCATCTAACAATGGGAATAAATTAAGGCAGGACAAATAATAAAGAGGGACACAATATTAAATTTAATGTGGAAAAACCTTTTTAATAGATGTTTGAAAAAAAACCATACATGACGAGCACGGAAATAACCTACTCTAGGAAAATAGAAGAATATAAAGTACCTAAAATAGGACTGCAAAGGAGTAGTATAAAAAGAATAGTTGATTCATAGAGATAAGATGAATAGAATAAAGAGGTGTAGTATGTAGAAAGGCTAGTATAAGTGGTTTCTCTTATGCATATGACCTACATTTATAGTTAAAGACGGAGTTTGAAAGGAATGACTGAAAGATTCGGAATTCCTTCTATCATTCTTATAGCCATAGTATTCTAATATGTTCACGTACCATTGGGAATAATTCTCTAGAATGTTCAAGTATATACTAACCTTGTTGATTTCTCCAAAAGCTTCTAGACGGTGCATAAATGCTTCACCAAAACAATGGGCCAATAAAATTTGGGCCACATCCTAAAATCATAGAAATATATAGAACACCAACATTTACTGAACATCCGTTATAAAGTGACAATAAAATGTGCAAAAGTTACACTAAAACGCACAAAAGTTACCGTGACATATATAATAGTTATTTATACTTTATTGATAAATTTGACAAAAGTGACACTAAATTTGACAAAAGTGACACTAAATCTGACAAAAGTGTACCCGATGTACAGTAAATTACTGAAAACCGGGTGTACACAAAAGTTTTCCTATATAGAATTGAGTCACTTCTATAACAATGTAATACTAGATCAATTGCTGCATCACATTAACAACATGCTTAATATGTAATTTTATTATGGAGCACCTAACAAGGTTACACCTATATTCATTTTTTCAGAATCCATATTCTCTTAAACTATACTATTAGACTGTTATCTCTGTATATCTGGTGTCAATAGTTATACAACATTAAAATGCCAGCCAAGGATCACTGACCAACTCCATAGGAGTCTTAGGACCATTGACCACCCTACAATTCGTCCGAACCTCGCCAGGCAGGCCTGACTGTAGATCACCCATCTTTAACATACCCTTCACAAAGGCATCAAAAAATGCACCCTGATCTTCACTATACTTCACCACCCATTCCCTTGTTTCCTCGAATGTATAAAGTGTTTCATCTGAATTCAAGAACCCTTTTCCTGCAACTAAGTCCTTAAAGTACTGATTATCAAAGAGTGTAGGAGTAGCATCCAAGTAACCAGTCACATTCTCATCTCCATCAACAGGACACAACTTATCCAACTCCATCCTGTAAAGAGGATCGATTGCAGGATCAGGCTTTCCGGTCCCTGATTGATTGTAAAGGCGGAAGGTGATTGAGAAACATCGACCTTTGCCAATGGAGTGAGACCCTGAGAGGGCCACAAGGTCCTCGGTTGAGAGGTTGAACTTCGCAAAGAGGTCTATTAAGGCACTGGCATTGGCTCTTGGACTTGGCATAATCGCGTCTGAGTCCTCTTGGCTTGCAGTTAAACTGTCCTTTCTTCCTAATCTCACCTCCCAATCTGGCCCTCCACTCTGTGTAATGACAAAGCTCAGTTATTTGGTTTTAAAAGGACTTTCTAGAAATTGTACATGTCAATTTTCATACATACAATTATTTCACACTCGCAACACAAATTCTCAAATGTAAGAACAGAATGGGATGTGGTAATGTACAGCCATACTAGTCATGCCTAGTGAACGGACTCTTGAACGAGTTCATCATGGACTATTTTTTTTTGTCATTCATTCATATGCATTACAATTAGATTGAGTTATTTTAAGAAGAAAGAGTCCATATATGCATGACTTACACTTCTCCAAATACGAATTAAATCGAGTATGCACTCTTTACAAGCTCTACTTGATCTTACATTACAGGAGTTAAATTAGCTTAGCAATCTAATAAAACCTTTAATTTCTTAAGCTCCTAGCTTAACATTTTTGTGGAAACAAGCTAGGTGGAATGGTACATGTTTTATATATCATTATACACCATTTAAAGTATCGAGTATTATCTAATGTTTACATTAAATTAGAATAATGATACTGTTTTGTTAACATGACAATTTTGAAAACATAAATGAATGGTGGATGATTAACAAAAACTTTCCAAAAGTAATCAGTGTTTTTTATTTAGTAAGATGCTTTGTGAATGAATTATAATCGCACCTTGTTTCATACGTTATCTTCTCATCTACCACTTCTTTATTCGAGCACCACAACATCAATTTGTAGTAGTATGTATGTACTTTAAAAGAAAGTTCGAAAAAAAAAAAAACAACAGTACAAGATAACTATGAATAATCTACTAAATGGCCATCAAAGTCACTTTTCTTTCATAGTGGTCCTTTTCATAGTAATCAATCAATAAGGTAGTTGTATTAGTACAACTTTTGACTCTTTCACATGAATAACATCTAGTACTCCTCTGTTCCAACACTAGAAATACATACAATTACGCAAGTGTGTGTGTGTTTTTTTTGTGAAATCTATTGACCCCTCAAAGTACAATCCTTAGGAAGGGAAACTCGCCGTTTAGCTAGATGATTAGACATTAAAGCTAACGGCTAAGAAACAATCACACTGTAACCAACCGTCGTTGGGCTAATAATTAGAATTGAACCCTGACCTCATAGTTAAAAGGTGGGACTAAAAGGGTTCTACCATTGAGCTCTCACTTGATTCTTCTTCTTACACTACCGTTTTTACTTGGCTTAGACTAAAGGGTTCTACCATTGAGCTCTCACTTTATTCTTCTTCTTACATTACCGTTTTTACTTGGCTTGGACTAAAGGGTTCTACCATTGAGCTCTCACTTGATTCTTCTTCTTACATTCTCGTTTTTACTTGGCTTAGACTTGTTATACGATCACACAAACAGAATAAACGTATGCAGTAAATGGTCTTCTAGTTGGATTAAACAAGGCTTTCAACGTGGATGTATGTAAGTCATGTAACACTTCTAATGTTTAATTTTATGTTAAATAGACTTTAGTCGTCTATATAGTATAGCATTTTCAATTGGGTAACAATTTCCTAGTAATATGCTACCTCCGTCTTATATTCGCGTTTTATATCAATGTTGATCAAATTAACTTACCTAATTGATTTTACTTAATTAGGAGTAATAAATTGAAACCAATGTAACAGTAACAAGTAATGAGGAACGTAATTTTACCAAAGCAACGGCATCTCTAGCAGCCATGACAACGATATCAGCACAAGAAACAACTCCGGGACAGATATTTTCCACAGCTGTTTTGATTTCATCAATTACTTCAAATGACCTCAGCGAGTTTATGTTTGAAAGGGCCAATTTCTCCCCTAGCATTGTTGGTGTGTCATCTAACAACAACGACCCATCACATCCCTGTAATTATTTTTCACTATTATAAGTCGTACCAAAATTATTTACAATATACAAGTAGTACTATAAGACACCGGACTTTTTTAATGTGACATAAAATGATCCATTGAGTAAATCATACGACAAAATATAAGGTGAGACATAAAATGAGACACGAGGTTACAAGGACGGACTTACATTAACAAAACAATCATGGAACTGCAACCTCATGACTGAAGCAGCGCTTCGGGTTTCATTGATCATGGCCTTATGTAGGACCTCTCGAACCGTGGATTCGGCTTTCGGGCAAGTGCTGGCGTAGAATCCAGGCACAAGTTGAGCCTCTCCGGTGATTAAGTAGAGAAAAAGGAGAGAAAAAACAGGGATGATCATTTTTTTGGACAGCTCAAAACCTGTTGAATGAATATGAAAATAGTAAAAAAAAAAATTAAAAAAAAAAAAAAACACTCCCTTCTAGTATTGAGAAATCTGGAAATCCAGATTTAGAGAGAGATAGAGAAGTTTAGAGAGAGAAAGCTATGGAAGTTTTTTTCCTGAAAATATAAGCAATCATCCTATTTTACATTATATTAAGGAAAAAGCAATGGGTTTATAAGTAAAAAGGACCACTATTATTTATAATAAAAACATATATACATGAGCTAAATTTTAAATAATACGGAGTAGAAAATAATTAAACAACCATTTTTTTTTATGTCTGCTTAATAAAATATGATCATTAAGTTTATAATCTCATTTTGTTTGTGAAAATTTTACCACAAAAATGAAAAATGACATAATAATTACTGTAAAAATTTTGTAAAATCCAAACCCAGTAAAGAATGTTTAGTTAACAGATTAATCAGGATTAAGAAATTAAAAGAGTACAGCTAGATCAGTCATAAATTAAGCAAATTAAGATAAAAGCAAGAAATAATAAAATGATTAAGAGAAAGAGAAAGGGTACAGAAGATACCAGAGAAAGGTAAAATAGAGATATTTGGGTAGGAGAGAAGGGTAATTTGGTAATTTGTGATTGTTGGAATTGAGGGAGCTAAAGTGGAGAGGTGGGAGACTGGGAGTAGAATGTTTGGAGGAAGCTAAGATCTTTTTGGTGAGTTGTTGGGGTTTTAATGTTAGGAGGAAGCTAAGATCTTTTTGGTCCTAAATTAGGAATAAAATAATATTAAGAATAAATGAATTTAAAAATAGATACAAACAAACTATGGATTATATAGAGATTAATAATTTTATTGTGTTGATTGTGTAGTCACTTCAATCAAATCTATAAATTAACAGGGTACCCAGAATTGGCACTAGAATCTGGTGGTTCTTGAAAGCTTGCAGCAAACTCCAAATTTTGTTCCGATTTTGAGGAATTGGTTGCAACAGCTTTCAATTTCGATTTAGAGATTTTTGAAAAGGTACCACGTGTTTCTCATTCTTGTTAAGCAGGATTCAGTTGATGAAGTATCAAATATGGTAGATTGTTCAAACAAATGATAATGAAATTGTTCAAATTAGTCTAGAAGGATTAGAGAAAAAAAGATTTCTGGGAATAAGATTCCTTACTTGATTTTTTTAGGAATTTCCTAAACATGATTAATCAGAAAAGTCAGCAATGATAGAGAGTTTCCATAGAAAATTTTACTAATCGAAGAATTAGGTGAGAGGGAGGATATCATTTAGATTTTATGAGAAGCGGAAATTCTTAGAATGAATAAATGACAATAATGATAATTTTTGCTCATATGAAATCTTAAATTATAAACTTAATATTTTTTTCCTAGTGTTTAATGTGGGATAACATTCACTTATAAACACTTGTATCTAATAAAATACTCGTATATATTTGTAAATTGTAAATACTAGGGTTAGTCTGTTACATCTACATGTGTGTATGTACTTGTATTGTACATGGTTTGAAACTAGAAAAAAGTGGCGATAATTGATGTCATGCTTACTACATAGTAATATTAATGATGGGTATATAATAGAAGAAGAAAAATGATCTACTACTACTTTGTTGTTGTTGTGAAACAAGGGAGCAATTCTACTTGATTGGCAAACAATTGTGCATAGCTTAGATATTTTTGTTTTGAGATGTTCTAATTTCTTAGTACTCTTGCATGAGATGCTTTTGTGGGTGGCGACTGGCCCACTTCGTCTGTTGAAATGGTGGGTCCTAAGTTATTCATCTCTTATCACTTTTACCTGTCAACATTTGACGGATTATCTCAACTTACTTGTGTATCATTCTCATCAACACCAAGATTTATACAATTGAAAAAATATAGAAAGAAAATTAAGTGGAAGAATGTGAAATCCAGCTCAAATGGAAAACTAAAAATAAGTGAGAGAGAAAAGAATTCCTACAAAAGAACAAGAGTAAGTAATTAGTATGCCCTAAAATGGAAAACAGTGAAATGAAATGAGTAATTTGAAATGCAAATTGTAAAATACTTGTGTAAGATGATCTTACTATATAAGATCATTATACAAGTAGTTATTTACACTTAATGACTAAATAATATTGTTTAATAAATATTATTTTTGAATGAAAAAAAATTAGAGACTACAATATATATATATATATATATATATATATATATATATATATATATATATATATATGTTTATATATTTATCAAGTAGCTATTAATCTATTACTCCATATCAATTATTTGTATTTTTTTTAATCAAAAGTAACAATTTGTGATCAAAACAATTTGTTACTAATTTGAGCTATTATTTTACGCCTCTCATTTTGATGATTGTTTTTTATTTAATCATCAAATGAAGAGCGAACAGCCGAACACTAACCTTGAGTTAGGGCCTGTTCACATTTACAGAACTAACCTAAACTGAACTGATTGGAGCTGAACTGAACTGAATTGAAATAAAATGGGAAATTAGGAACTAAACTGAACTGAAATTAAGTACTCCGTAAATGTGAATAGACCTTTACTTGAGTTACTTGGGTGTATAATACTACGGAGTATAACAAATTCTGATGGGCCAGCAATTCCTATCCACAAAATTTAAAGCCCATATGGTCTACATCAGCCCAGCCCATTAACTTAAACCCCCTCACTTCTCCCAACTTCCTCCATTTCCATTTTCTGCTGCATCAACCGCAAAACCTCCCTTCTCCATTTTCCTGCTTCACTTTCTCTCTCCTCCTTCTCACCAGAAACAACCATGGGAGGCAGAGGAAGGAGCCGCACTCAACGGAAACACTTCAAGCAGAGCAGAGATAACGTCTGGAAAAATGGCTCCAAATCCGACGCTTCCTCCGCCGCCGCCGACGGCGAGAACAACTCCGGCGACGCTGAAAGAAAAACCAGGGAAAACTGGGAGCCATTGAAGACTCAGAACGCTGTTTTTGAAGATTATTATAAGGTTTTGTTTCTTTTTCTTTTTTTTTTTTAATTTTATTTATTTTTTAAATTAAATTGATTGATTATTTGATTAATTTGAAAATGAATATGAATTTGTCTTTTATGATTGTATATTCAACAGATTCTACTATATTTTTTATGAAATAGTTTGATTGTTAATTCAATTGGTTGTTGTTTTTTTTTTTTTTGAATTTGGCAGGAGCAAGGGATTGTGGCGCCGGAAGAATGGGATGATTTCATGGAATGTCTGCGAAAGCCGCTACCGGCTGCTTTTCGGATCAATTCCAGGTGCTTTCATTTAATCTATTTTTGTTTTTGTAAAGTTTTGTCTGGTTTAGGATTTAGTGGAGGTTTTGCAGCTGCTTAATGTTTGCATTTGAAAGAAATCGATGTTATTTAGATTTTTCTTTTGTTTTGTTGTATATTGCGTGGATATTGTTGTGTGTTAGAAGTAGATGGAATGTGTTTAGGCAGCCTGATGAACACCTTTACACTTTTGTTGAGCTTTTCGAAGCGGTGTTTGTAATTGAATTGATAATCCGTTTATTATTGCGGAGTTTGAGTGAGGGCGACACAAGATTGTCATATTATCAATAGAGATATAGACTGATTGAGATACGGAGTAGTGAATTACACAATGTTGTACTCAGTGAAGATTAGATATTGAAGTGATTTTCGTTAGGATGTGGTTTATTCTGCCATTGAAGCTATTCTAGCTAGATTCTTTATCAGTATGAGAGTATTTCATTGATGAGTCAGACTCATGGATACAGAAGCATTGTGAGTGGACTATGATGTCTGAAGCTTGTCAAATGCCTTTTGGCTTCGTTATGTTGTTGTACAACCTGCCTGTAGAGTGATAGGCTGCCATTATCAAACAATTGAATGAAAATAGAGGACTCTGGATTTTTTAATTCCTGCTGCGGAGGAGCTGTAAGTTTAGAAAACCAATAAGAAGGATTCTTCAAAAAACAAGTGCGAGGAGAATGGGTAATAGCTGATTAGCTGATAGGATGGGCTATGGCGGTTATCTTGGGAGGTGCTTGTTGGTGATCTAGGTGAGCATGAGGAAGTGAATGTTTGTGGAGGTGATATTACAAGACCAAAATTGGTGGGGAACAAACTGGGGAAGGTTATTTTATTAGCAAACATGTTACAATTAAATGAATTGATTTAATTTAGTGGCTTAGATTTGTGTGTGTAAAATAATGTACTTCCTTGTTATTTTATACTTACAACACACCTTTTTGGCACGCTATTTGAGGAATTGATTAGATTAGGTAAATGGACGAATTAAGCTATAAAATTTAAATCGTACAACTTATCACTTTCTTCTTATCGGTGGTTAAATTATGTTGATAAAATTTGTCCGTTTACCTAGTCTAATATCTTCCCTAAAGCACATGCTAAAATAGTGTGTTGTAAGTAAATAAAAACGGAGGAAGTAGCTCCTATTAACCTTGAAATGAGCGGGATGGGAAACCCAATCCCAATCTACTCTAAGGGAGTAAGGGGTACCAGGAGTCAATTTTCATCATATCAATCAAATTAGCTGTGCTCCTCCTACCTTCCATTCATTGGTTACTGATTATTTTGATAAGAAACCTAGTATTTTTGGGCTTTTTAATCATATCTTATTGACCTTTGTTACTGACCCACAACAATATCCTCATTGATGAATTTTGCAGTAGCCAGTTTTGTTTGGACATTCGCTCACAATTGGAGGATGATTTTGTCAAATCACTTCAGTCTGAGGTTATTCTATCCCATGCTTTTATTTTAGTTTGTTTATTGATTCTACTGTAATGCATCATTGTTCATGTATAATATCTCAATATGGCTACAGTATCTTGAATTCCATGGTTTTTCCTCCTACTTAGTTCACTGGTGATGAAGCAGAAGCTTTAAGGCCACTGCCTTGGTATCCAGAGACTTTAGCCTGGCATTCGGAATTTTCACGCAAACAGCTGAGGAAAACCCAGACCCTAGAGAGGTAAGCCTATATAATCTCTGCAATATATTGATTTGAGTTTTTCTCCATACCAAAGCCTGTCCATTTACCATGGGCATGTGTTAGTAACTGATTTGTTTTGATGTTTCTTGATCATATCTTCAAAGTGTCCCTTAATTAGTTTGCTTCACGCACACACACACACACACACAATTGTGAGCCTCTTTCAAGGCATTGAAGTAATATCAATATTGATATGTAAAATACCCATCGGATTGACTGTCTCGTAACTACGTTTCCAGGTTCCACGAGTTCCTCAAGCTAGCTCATGAAATAGGAAACATAACAAGACAGGAGGCTGTTAGCATGGTGAGTTATATTGCGCTTGACTGTACTATTTGCTCTTTTTTTTTTAGTAATAGATAGCGCCCACGCTTTTCCGTTGGAACTCTTACTGCTAGTATTTTCAAAGATAATTGCGAAAATTGTGAAATAAAAATCAGAAATGTTCTTTTTGATATTAGTGCAAAGGTATAGATCTTACAATTGTTATCAATGTATTTTGAAAGAAATGTCAATCAAAGTTTGACTTTGAAATATATAGCCATATAGGTGTGTTTTATATTGAAACAGAGGGAGTACATTTATCAAACAATTTATACTGATTTTATGGTCACTCCTAAACAGGTACCTCCTCTTTTCCTGGATGTGCATCCAAACCATTTTGTACTCGACAGTAAGTATAAGACATGATGATGTTTCAAAGTATCTTTGCATCCTTTTGGCAGCGTGTTATAAT